CGTTGAAAATAAGCTATGTGATTTCGAAACAAATTTGATGTGGACAAGAGAAAACATAAACAAAACACAGACAAAATGTTTGAATTTTATTCATTTTTTGTTTAATATTTACTGAACTCAGAATGTAATTTGGGTTAACATAGGTTAAACACTTATAAATGATAATACTAGCGAAGCTCAACGTATTAATAAACGAATATCAAAAATAGTTTTGATATTATAAATCGTAATATCCGTTATAAAATTGACGTAAATTGAAATCCACATTTTAATAAAAATTATTTTGTACATTAGTTAGGGTAAACGTGACGTCCCCCCGTTCCAGTAAGAAAATATAATTGAGGTACGCAAAAAAAAAAAAAAAAATAGTAGAAGAGCTTTGGTCCTATGCGCACTCCCTCCCTCCCAATTCGAGGGGTTTTATTTGAAAACGATGATCTTTTTTCATATTTTCATTACCGTGAATTGTAAACATTAGTCAACATACCAAGATGAGCGTCTTGAGACAGCACAAGAGCAAATATCTTATCAATTATCATATCGTATTTCTTATCAATTATCATAATATTATAATCGTCATAATTTAAAAACACTATTTACCAGCAATTGTTTCTTGGACTTTCTTAGGAATGGGAAAATATTTTACTTCGTTGTAATGCCCTCTATATGTTTTACAATATTTGATTTCTATATTTACACATCATTTAACTACTACTTGTATGTACGAAGGACAGAATTTATCTAAAATTACCTATTATTAAACATAATTTTGACTAAAGGAAAACAGACATTGCGTTAAAATCCAGTTCATAGTTCATTGTTAACTATTAATTAAGTTATTCAACAAAAGTTTAATCAAACATAAATTGAATTATTAAGCCAAACAAAAATCATAATTACAATAAAATACTAATATTTGTTATTACTTAAGTTTTATTTATAATACTTTCAATGTTTAGTATCCATTAAAACCAAAATTCAATACAAAATATGATATAAATTAATTAGTTATTAGATAAATATATGATAGATGGGATTTGTCATTTTAGGATAATATAATGAAAACAAGTCTGTACAAACAATAATATTTTTTTAATTTTTTAAAACATTAGGTACATAATAACCCTAAAAAAATAACCCTAAAGAATGTTCAGATTATCGAACAATAGCTCTAATGAGCCATACCTTGAAATTATTTTTAAAGATCATCGAAGAATATATGCTAAATATGTAGTCAAGTATGACGCAATTTGGATTTAAGCAAGAAATGGGGACAAGAGAGGCATTATTCAGTATAAATACCCTTATGCAAATGTGCTTAGATGTCAATAGAAATATTTTTGCATGTTTTATAGACTTTACTAAAGCATTCGATAACGTACAGCATGACAAATTAATAAAAATATTAAAGGATAAAAATATTGACAGCCGTGATATAAGAATAAATTTAAATCTCTATTGGAATCAAACCGCCAAAATTAAAGTGGACGATGAGTCGACGAAATAAAAATAAAAAATGGAGTTAGACAAGGTTGTGTTTTGTCTTCCCTATTATTCAATATTTACAGTGAAGCAATTTTTGATGAAGCGATCCTTCACGAACATATTGGTGTTAAAGTAAATGGGAAATTTGTTAACAACCTAAGATATGCCGATGACACCGTTATTCTGACGGGAACCATGGCGCATCTGCAAAGAAGCATGGACAGTCTCTACATTGCGTGCAACAAATATGGACTTGAAATGAATGTTAAGAAAACTAAATTCATGTTAATAACGAAAGACCGAACAGACACTGATAATAATGAATTCAAATTAATCTTAAACAACGATATAATAGAAAGAGTGTATTCATACAAGTGTCTTGGAATAAAGATTCACAGGAACGGGGATAACTCAAGAGAGATCTGGTATCGAGTTGAAATTTCTAGATCTATGTTCATCAAACTAAGGAAAAGTTTTTCAAACCAAAATCTACCATTGAATTTAAAAACTAAGATGTTAAAGTGCTACGTGTTTTCCACCTTTTTGTACAGAATGGAAGCTTGGACCTTAAAGAAAGCAGATGTTCAAAAAATTTAAGCATTTGAGATGTGGTGTTTCCGCAGAATTCTCAACATATCTTGGGTCGACAAAGTTACAAATACAAAAGTTTTAAGAAGAATAGGCAAAGAATCAGAGGTGATGAAGATTATAAAATCTAGGAAGTTGCAATATTTTGGATGTTTGCTTAGAGGTGAAAAATATCAGGTGTTGCAGCTCATAATACAAGGAAAAATTTGCGGGAAGAGGAGCAAGGGAAGACCTAGAACGAGCTGGCTGCAAAATTTAAGGGAGTTGTTCCAATTAGAGCTCTTAAAACACGTGTCACGGAATTCACGTGTACGCGTGAAATACATGTTTATCCAAAATATATATCCATTTTACAATGGTAAAATTAGTAATTTTATGTTATACACTTGAAGTTTTAATAAAATATTAATAGTACAGTATTAAGTTAAGGATATACGTTTTTATTTTGGATTTTACACGTGACAGGTGACACGTGAATTCCGTGAATTCACGTATATTAAGAGCTCTAGTTCCAATATAATACTGAGGAACTACTCAGTGCAGCCAAGGACAAAGAACATATAACCATGATTATTTACAACCTTCGATAAAAGAGGAACACAAAGAAGAAGAAGAAGGTACATAATAATATATAATTATATCATAAGAGATGAACTATTTCATATATTCCATAAACACCAACGACTTGAATTGAAGATCAATTAACAGAAAGCAACACATAAAACAATAAAAAAATCACAATGCCACGATTATATACAACAGATAAACATAATTACAAATTTCAGTAATTAATTAATATATATAACTGATTTTGTCACTTGCTTATTTTACATGAACCAATAATTTTCATGGCACGTTTTCCAGTAGCCTTGCTTGAAAAGATTTCAGAACGATGGCAATAATAAACACTCGTAGCTACAGTTTATTTTTGTTAAATCTTGTCCCCTTTTTTTAACAAACCTCAATTAAGAACTAACCTCCTCAATTGATTTCCATTCTTCAAACTCTAAACAGTTATGATGAATCAAAATATTGATTTCAGTTACGTTAAATTTAAAAAATATAATTGTTATTTCAATATTAAGATTTAACTAAAAAGTTAAGATTTTTTTACTTTCATAAATTTCAAATAATAAAAAATAATACTAAAAATGTATTAGAATTAAAATGGTAAGCGTATTGATTATAAAAGTGTCTGATGGTATTCGATAATAAAAAGGTTGGGAACCCCTGACTTAGATTATGAAGAAGTATTAGGCGCCCGGTGCATACGCAACCCTCGTACCCCCTAGACACGATCCTGGCTAATAGTATTGTAATTTCAAGATTTTTTTAGAATAGAGCAGTCAGTGTACGCTTGTAAAATTGCTAACTCAGGGGGCTCATTTTACCAAAGTGTCAATTAACGTAAGGGAACGTAATACTATTTCAAAAATATAATGTTTTGTACTTTGAACATAAGTTCCCCGTACAATACACGTCTCATTTTTCTGATTTACATAGTAATGGCTTTATGAAATACGTATTTATATTTTGATGATGTGCCAACTTAGGCATAGCCTAACTCTAGACTGTGGTGAATGCATAAGTTGCCCCCTCCCAAATGAGTCCACTGGGGGCTAAACCAAAAATTAATCACTATTTTTTTTTTTTTTGAAACTGATGTTTATACCTCATATTTAAATATTAAAATAATATAAATAAATATAATTTATTACATTTTTTCACACATTAAACAAAAAGGCAATAGAAATAATAATCATTATTTAATTTATACTTAGCTCATTTCAATTAATTTTATAAAACTTAAAATACGACTGAAGGGGCTAAAATCTCTTAACCTCCCTTCCCCATTGGATCCTTGATGGTCATGACCCGTACACTTGACGAATTTTTGTTTGTTCATATTTCTTTTGTTCCGTAGTACTTTGCGATACTTAACGGATCACAGCCATGACTCATGGAAGTCTTCAGTGTTGAAATTGATAAATGTTAAACGTAACAATATTATAATACCGTCTGCCAAACACCTAAATAGATCGCGCGTCCTGAATATGAAATTCCCGGAGAAAATAGTAGGAATAAATTCTTATCCGCACCGTGACGGAAAATAAGTTGACCACACAGATATAAATAAGATAACTAGATTGCTAACTAGTGATATCAGCGTACGCCAAAAAAGGACATGTTGGTTGTAGGCTCTGTAGTGTTATCATAAAATGTTTAATGTGATACTAAATATATTTATCATTTGGCGGGTATTTCATATCAAATCATACATATCGACGCCTCAATTCAAGACTACAATAACTCAAATTATGAAACTACTAGTTTTAGAATGAAATAAACGACCTCTAGAGGCGAATAATGCAAATAAAAAGTTATTGCGTTATAGAATCGAAATCGTCATAACTTTGCAAATAATATCACGTAAATAACTCAATTCTGAATATTTTTGAGTAATTGCAGTCTTGAACTGAGGTGACGATATTACCAATAATGTAAAAAAATTGTTCATTTAAGGGGGCTGGAGCGCTGCATGTTTTAAGGAATAATATTTAGGCAATTCATATTACATGTACATTTGGAGTGTATCGATGTGTGAGTAGTAAATGAACATTAGTGTGTGTGTAATCCGTTATCGCATTATTGTTATTATCTGTTGTCGCAAATGGCCAGCGACTAAAATACGAATTCCCGGAACATACGCCAATGTGCTAAGCATGTACCCCAAAAAAATAAATAACGAATATATCATCAAATAGGTTTAAATAATTAGGTTATACTATTATACGGTAATATTAGGGATGGCGGAAGACACGTACGACTCGGGCGACCGTATAGGGCTGCACATTTTTTTTTTTTAATAAATACTTAGCGCCGGCTTATAATATCAATTAAAATTTTAAAATATAAATCATAATTACCTGATCAATAATTAAGTCTTTTGAAGGTTCATTGGTATTTAATTTTCTTAAATTATTTAAATTATGAGGTTTTTTCCGGTGTGCAGACAACTTTGGTCGAATCTTTTTACGTCTACAGTCCCTCATTTTAATAATAAATGATTACAATAAACTTTTTTGTCTAGATTAGTTCAAAAATTGAATCAATAACACGTTGTAATAATACTCATAATACTAATACATCATTCATCAATACTTTTGATAACCGTTTGTAGAATGAGATATGATACAATATTATACTCGTATAATAATTGTAAATTAGAATCCACAAAACAAACAAAAATAATTTCATACTGTGATGTGGCGCTATCGCTTATAATATTATTATTATTATAGTCAATACAATTTTATGATGTGTACAAAATTAGTTTTATAATCGGTCGCGGCTCTAAACCGATGCGGTCGCTGCGCGTGTTATCGCAATTTCGAGAACACATTAATTCTCATACGCGCATGCACAAGTCAACCACAAACGCATGAAACTATTTTTTTGTTCTTTTCAAATTGGTGAAAAGAGGTAAAAGCTGGAACAAAATTCGTCTAGTTCTGGTAATCCGATTATATATTTTTTAATATATTCTAATTTCTCAACTTTTCTTCTATGTTTTGTAGGAAACGGATTTTTGATTATAGTTCAAGTTATTTAATAAAATGCATTCAAATTTTTATTTTTTTTTTTAAAAATTAGCATACAAGTTAATAAAAAATTAAGAAAAAATAATAAAATTGTGGTTCCTACAAAACATAGTAAAGAAGCTAACAAATTTAAATATTTTTTCAAAATTTAAATCGGACAATTAGAACTAGGTGAATTTTGTTCCAGCTTATTGGTCCAAATGCATGAAAAATGTAGGCTGCTCCAGCCGCCTTAATTTGGGAACATTTAAATTCACAAATGTTAACAATTCATTGATATCATACTGTTGTTCTCGTCGCAATTCTCGATCGAAAAAATCATGTATTGGACGATTGGGTGAAATCATACCTAATTGTCCCAATGCTTTATTGGCGATCGTAAGGCACATATCTTCAATCGCTATTAATGCCTCATTATACATTTCCAATGTTATGATCAAATCAGAGTTTCCTGTGTGATGGCGCATTCGAATCAAAAAGTCTTCTGTCATAAAATCTCGATATTTATTCCACAATTCAATCGGATTCGATGGGAAACATGTTGATATTATTATGCCATACAGCATACGTATTTGATGTGGAAATGAAACGATCGATGCATCTTGAAGTGATAAATCCCAACATGCATAATTTTCCAGTAAACCCAAATGCTCACACGCTTCACTATACGTAGCACATAAATGACCATTAACTGTTCGCAAATCTTCAAATGAACGCGGCCCCACAACATTCACTAACAACAGCCGCAAATAATAACATTCTACCATATTTGGATGAACTGTGTATAGTCTTCCCATAGTTTCTGCATAGAAAAGACCTGGATGGCCATCAGCTGCTGTTCCCTTTTTACGCCGTTGCCATGTTTTTTGTGCAGTCCAAGTGTAATAATGCGTTACATCTGAATAAAGCAAAGTTCTGGCAAATTCATCACTTGCGCTAAATTGAAAAAATGTGGTTAATGTTGTTGCTGGTGGACGTGCCACTCTCCCTTGAACATTTTCATTGGTAAAATATACACGTTGGCCATTTTTAAGATGAACTGCCAAATGAACAACAGCAGGAAACCGTTCATGCATCGGATATGAATAAATTCTCCAAAGAGCCTCATTAATGTTGATGTAGCGGCCTATTTGATATTGAGCAATTTCATCATGACTATTGTCAGCAGCTACTCCGAAAACAGCCGTATCACTGCCTTTGTTGACATACTTGCAAATGTATTTGATCGATTTGACCGAATTGCAATACTCAACGTTAATGTGTGCCTTAAATATTTTCGACAATAGTGGTGAGTATGGAACTACCCAACGATTATCAACTTCGATGTCTTGATTTTGCATTCTAATCGTTACCGTATGGCCATTATCTTCCGTAGACCGACGTCGGTACAACGGATATCCATCATCTCCTGTTATTGTGTCAGAAGTCAATGGTACCGTTTATGTACTATTCCATATTCAATGGTACTCTTAGGTACCGTTTTAAACATTTTCCATCGATCATGCATGGAGAATTCAAATTGAGTGCACCACAAGGACCGTGAATCATATTTTTCTTGATAACTTCAAATAATTCAGGATCAGTAATTTCATCTGGAATTTCAGCTGATATAATGCTATCAATTTGATCCGGTGTTATTTTACGTACCAGCTATATCAATATATGTGCATGCGGAAGCCCTCTCTTTTGCCATTCGATCGAGTACATCCAGCAACGCACCTCTCCAAATACTCGCAATTTGATAATCAAATCAATCAACGCTTTCAATTTCTGTCGAAATACACGTGCTGTTATATCGTGGCGGTATGTTGGTGTCTGACCTTCAAATAAATTAATTTTTATGTCATTCTACTAGGATTGCATGTGAATGTTATGAAGAGGTCAGGGCAGCCGTATTTTCGAACGTACGACATTGCATCTTGTGTATATTTATGCATGTGACGCGGACTGCCAATGTAAGTCGCTGATAATATTGTTAAACGTCCAATATTATTGACATCGCCATCATTCACTATTGTATCTTGTAAGTGTATGTACTCTTCCGATCGCAATGCCGCTTGATTGAATCTAAGGTAATTGAGACGTTCTGATTCAATCTTCGCATACATGTCCACAGCATATTGATGAAATAGTTTGCCACACCTCAAAATAAAGTTGTCTTCTTGTGGACGAACCATGAATCTGTATGAGTAATAGTTCATCGCACTAACTGTCTTGCCTGGTATGTCGCGACCTGTAATAAATACAATGATAGAAAATTTAAATGTCTGATTGTTTTAAAATGAATACATTTTCAATTCATATGAATATGTTACCGGTTCGTGGATCTATCATTGGTATATTGATATGATAGCCGTCGTCACCTTTCTAGTGCAATAATGGATACTGTAATGCATCATAGCTGCGATGAAGCTCTGATACACGCTGCAATTGCTCATTTCTTCGGTGTAGCACAATATCGCGAGATAGAAACTGCTCTCCAACAATTACAATGGCCACTTCATCAATGGTTGGTGCATTGAAGCGTCTTGTATGCTCTCCAAAAGGCGTTTTGTCGGCTCTTATTACTATCCTATGATTATCGGATGGCATAAGATCAAGAGCGGTTTTGAACAATTGAACTAATTCATTGTGTTGATGGAAAAAAATTTGCAGGTCCAAAATAATTTGACGCCTTGCACTTGGAGCAATTGTACAACGCCGATTCAATTCATCATTGCTATTCCCAACAAAATAGATTTGCAAAAATTGAGGTTCAGTGTCAGAGAATGGCAATAATGAACCAGCTCTATGATAAATCTGGGCTTGAATCTGTAACATATGAGAAATACAATTTGATATTGGATCAGAATTCGTGAAAATATCAAAATAATTGCTGGTCAGGTTGCATTTTTTGAAAGATATTCCGTATGAAATAATTACCTTGAACGTCGGCATAAAACTGTCTCTTATAACTTTTGTCGCACCAAAAGAAGTCATTTGAAATGGCGTATTATATTCTTGAATGTGGGACAAAAAATGCTTGGACGTCGGTGATGTTCCAAAAATCAATGAGTGCAGTAGATCAGGTGGAGATTCGAATGCTGGCAATTTCACTTTGCCATTAGTACAACACATGCCAGCCGTTTCACCTGGAAATTTGGCTGCAGCACAATGTATACATCTCACCGTCATTCCACCAATAAGACCATGTTCACTGTAATCCATTTCACTGCTGTAATGAAATGCAGCAAATTCCATGGCTTGTGCACGACGTGTATTTTAAGCAGCTTATTTATTTTAAATGCTTAAAGTTTAATACTAGATTTATTTAAAAATGAATGCACAAATAATGGTAAAACTACTTGTAGGCAGTATACACATCAAATGAAAGAATTTGTTTTAACATTGCATTACTATTCTCCGCGTGCTTATAATTACTGCCGATAATAAAATGTGTATTTTTAATTATTTCAATAAATTAATTTGAAGTTTTTTAACTTTATTTTATAGTTCAATTTTAAGCTTGCCAGATCCACTGTCAATCACTAGCTGGACATCTTCTGTTAATGCTGAGCCAGATTTTATTCAAGAAGTTTTTGACTACATGTAAAATGCATTTGTTATATAAATAAAATTGTATAATGCCAACCGACAAAATGGCGGCAAGCTGCTACGTGATCTTCACTGATAACAATATAAATAATATACAAGTTCCTTATCTAGTGTAGTATAGAAGTCTGTAGTTAACCACGACATGTTATCACGTGAAATCAAATAGTTTTCATCGTTCCCGGGTAATCGAAACGACTTTTCGTAATCAATAAGAATACTACTGAAACTACACCGTAAAAACATTTGCGGAATAAAACGTACATCGCAAACGTGTTTCTAATCTTGTCCAACGGTTTCAACAGTTGCGTATTTTACCGAATTGTGCGATTGCGTAGAATCCGCCATGGCTGAACGTTTGGAAGACTTGAATTTACCGGTAACCGCGATCACCCGTATCGCCAAAGAAGTATTACCGTCCAACACCATTGTTTCGAAAGAAGCTAAAACCGCCCTGGCCCGAGCAGCATCCGTGTTCATATTGTACGTAAGTAATCAGGCGACCACCATAGCCACCAGTAGGAACAAGAAGACCATCAGTGCCCAAGATGTGCTGGAAGCATTGTCTCAAGTAGACTTTGACTGTCTGATTGAGCCTTTACAACAACTTTTAGAAGGTATATGACCATATTAGGATATTGTGCAATTGCATCATTATTTGTACATGTATTAACACATTGTTGTATTATTATATAGGAAGTTTCAAAAAGAACACAGGATTTAAATCTGCTTTAAATTAAATTTATTTCTTTTAAAAAAATATAATAAATATATCATTTTCAATAGGAGAAGTTAAGGTTTAATAGTGAAAAACAATATTGGGCATATGACCTTTCCTACCAACCCTATAGGTGATTATTCTTTCCATAAAATGTACCATCACTGGATAATACATTGCCCCATCAAGTTCATTGAGGACACGACAAATTTCTTGCTTAAGTTCCAAGATATTTCAAACTTTGTTCTGATAAACTTATGACTTAGTGTATCCCTTTATGAAAAAATCACATAGCGTCAAGTTGGAATATTGAGGTGGGTAGATTTGGCCACGCAACAAGATTAGTCTGTACGGGAACTTCTCAAGCAACAAAGGGATTGTTTCTCTTGAAGTATATCAAGTTGCACTATCTTGTTGTAACCATAGAAAAATATCTGCTGACCAGTAATTTTATTTGACTTAATTTAGACCAAATGAACATAAATAATGTTTGGTTTCAACTTGTCACACTTCAAGAGAAACAATCACTTTGCTGCGTGAGAAGTTTCTGGACAGACTAATCTAAAGCTATCCTCCTCGATTTTGCAACTTGACGCCGTATGATTTTTTCTTATAGGGATACACTAAGTCACGAGTTTACTAGAAAAAAGTTGTCTTGGAATTTAAGCAAGAAATTCGTCATGTCTTCAATGAACTTGATGGAGCAATGTATTATCCAGTGATGGTACATTTTATGGAAAGAATAATCGCCTATAAGGCTAGTAGGAAGGGTCATATGGCCGATATTGTTTTTCACTGTTAAACCTTAACTTTTCCTGAAAAGAATAATATATTTTTTATGTTTTTTTAAAATAAATTAATTTAATTTATAGCAGATTTAAATCCTGCATTTTTTTTTTTTTTTTGAGACACTCTATAGCATTATTATTTTTCATCCATTAGCCATATCACAAAAAATTAAACAACTATAACTTAAAAAATCATATCAGTTCTGTAATACATTATAGAGTATACATATACAGGGTAAAGCAGAAAAATCTTCCTGATTTGTGAAACTCATAGATACCAAATCAAGTCAAACATAAAAAGAAATGTTTTATTTTTAAATTGTACATATCAGTGGCGTATACAGAAAATATTTTCAAGAGGGGCTACTATGGACAGAGTTAAATTATCACTGCTATCTAAGAATTACTAACAAGATGCAGTAGGTACTTATCTATACTTCATTTAAAGAATGTCTCAAAATGATTTGACATTTAACACAAATTCTAAATAAGCTTAAAGCATCATTAAAATATAATACACGTTTAAAATAATTTTTAAGTTTTTTAAAACATTTCGGGGGGAAGGAGGCTGTAGCCCCTAGGCACCCCCTATATACGCCACTGATACATATGATGCAGTTTTATTTTATTTATTTATAAAAATGACATCACATAGGGGCTGCTCTCATTTTCAATACATCAATTAAGCTTTTTTGGTAGTTTTTAATAAGCAAAATGGCAGCAACTTCTTGGGTTATTACCTCCTTCGGGGCTTCCACACTTTGGGGACGAAACTACACATTCTCTTGTCCATTCTTCTTTTATTTTTGTTCCAACAAGATTCAACAAGTAATCACACACACAGTGGATTGGATACTCTGCAAGAAATGTTCATGGGCATATTGTCTCATTATCTGGTGACAATGGGTGACTACCACTTTCACCAGATTTAAGCCCATGCAATTTTTTCCTCTGAGGCAGTCTCAAAAGCCAAGTGTACCAATATCCTCAAACTGTGAAAACCCTAAAGGAGGTAATAACCCAGGAAGTTACTGCCATTTCATTTAAAATGACCTGTAGAATCATTGAAAACTACTGAAAAATGCTCAATCAATGTATTAAAAATGAGGACCACCACTTAAGTGATGTAGGGTTTAAAAATAATTAAAATAAAATGGAATTATATGTAAAATTTATAAGTAAAACGATTCTTTGATATTTGATTTGATTTGGTTTTTATTAGTTTCATAAATCAGTAAGGTTTTTCTGGTACACCCTACAATTCCTTATAGTGGTTTAAACAGATCTTATATAAAACTTTAAAATGGTTTTCCCTTCAATTAATATTATTATTATGGTATAATAACTTGTATTAGTGGTTAGGCAATATAAAGGGGAGAAAAGGATAAATAACTTTCAAAAGCCTTAGTTTTGTTTTAAAATTAAGATGCTTCACCATTATAATTGTACTTTTTATAGCCCCAAGGACCAAAAAATGTCTGGGGGCAACCCTATTTCCTTTAACATGGCTCTGGTTCTTTGACATGGCATGTGTAAAAAAAAGGTTATCAAAATGTTTTGTAGAATAAAAAAAAAAAATACAAAATTGGGTGGATTTAAACATCTCCAGTAATTATGTTGCTATTAGTATCTACAAATCCTTATATATTACTAAATCCTAATATAAAAATAATCATTAATATATTAATATAGGTATTTAATATTAAAATTTATTTTTATTCTTATTTTTTAAAAATAACTTAAGTACATACCTAACAGATTAATAAGTAAGTAGTTTTAGGGAATATTTTATGTTAAATTATATTTAGAAGAAAAGTATTTATTTATTTAAACTTATGTTGTGTTCATTATTCTACAGACATATTACAATATATTTTTTTGCCATTCATAATCACAATTTTATATTTATTTATATAATATTGTATTCGTTGATTATTTTCTTTTAGATTTCAAATCTACAAAACAACAAAAGAAAGATACCAAAAAGCCGACTCCAAATAAAAATATAGATGCTACAGATGATATTATTGACCTGGTTGATGATGATACTGATAACGATATAATAGAACTTTGATTTTTTTTTTTTTTTAAGTATATTTCATTAATTATTATTATATTAATTATTAATTATTTTTAGAATAATAAAAAAAAATAATTTGTAATATTTTTAACACAATTTAGTAATTACTTGTAATAAAAAATATAAAAAATCATTATGTTTAAGTTAAACTAATAATTAAAAATGTTATAAGAAAATAGATATTAAAAGCTATATAAAACCAAAAGTGATAATAATCAATTTATATTTTTAATATCAACTTTTTTCGAAATTAAAGTTCTGCACATGGGACATAATGTTAATTTTTCTGAGCACTTCCAGCAGCAACATAAGTGTCCACAAGGTATAAACAAAACATCAAACTAAAAAAAAAAAAAAAAAAACGATTTAATATTTTTTTTTATAATAAAACTAAAGGAATAATTATTGACATAAAAAATACATTTTTTTTGTTCATATTATTATAAAGAAAAATGTTTTATATATGTTCTGTAAATACATCTGAAGATAATCATTAAATATATTTTAACTTCCACATTTAATATGTGTTTATATTATAATAATAAACCTTTCAAATAATTTTGTTTTTTATAATAGTATAATTAAAAAAATTATACATTAAAAAGATACATTATGCAATATACATAATTACATAATGAAAATTTATTTTAAAATAAAACATTTTAATAAAATATAAAATTATTACTTGTTTTTCCATACAAACAATACATTCAAGCTCATCTAAAAATGGAGCTGATGGTGTAAACATATTTTCAGGAGGAGCAGTTGGTGTTGAAAAATAATTTAGTGAATTAATTAATATTTCTTGATCTTTGCAGCTATGAATACCCATCTATTAAATGCATTTTTTTTACAATTTTTACAAGTGTAATTAAAAATAAATAATAAAATAATATTTACATTAATCAAATATTCTTTGGTCAATGGTAATTTTAGTTCATTCTCCAAAATAAATAACAGAAGATGACTTCCACCCATTGTACACACTCTGTGTAATAATGTTGGATTTATAGAATTTTTAGAAAATGTCAACTCTGATGGCATATCATTGACTAGTTTTGAATACTGTGATAACCATTTTATAGTAGTATCCTACATAAAATAAATATAAATAAATATAAGGTAACATGGTTTAATTATTATTCAAATATAATTTATGGTTATAAGAATAATGTATTCAAGAAATGAATTAAGTATTATAAATGAGTTCATATTTTTAAAAAACCATATGATTAATTTTTTATTTATTCATTAATTATTTAAGTCAATTGTACACTTATATTCTTGTATATGTATTAATAATTATAAGAAATGAAAATAGAATCAGAAACAAAGAATGTTTATTATATGATTTTTTTTTTTTATAGTTCTTTCCAATGTTTGAATCACTGAGTTACTAACTTATCATAATGAAACAGAACAAAGAACATGTAAATAGCTATATTTATAAAATCTGATCAAATAGAAAAAGGATATAAAAGGGATTTATTGATACCATTACTGACATATTTAATATAATACTCACAAATTCAAATTGTTGGGCTTCTAATTTTTGTATCAAATACTTTTGGTTAAGCTTTTTTTTATCAATAAAATCAACAAGTAATTGAGTTAATGTAATTCGTTCAGTAGATAAATCATTCTGTAAGAAAAGCTCTCTGTCACTATATTTTATTTTAAAAAACGTAGTAAATAATTGTCCATACTATTTGTTTATTGAGCTGACAATTTCGCTTATGCAGTTCAGCAGTAGTCAAATATTTGAGCTGATTATACATTGATTTTAAATGTTCTTTTGAAACTTGGCGATAACAATTACTTGTGTTAAGAAGATTGGTTAATCTTTCCATTTCAGATGAATCACTTTTTGATTCATTATTCACAAGTACATAACGTTGCAAATTGGCTTTTTCAATTATTTGTTCAAGTCTTAATGTAAATTCTTTGTTCTCTCTGTATAATATATATAAAAGCTTTAATATAATGTCTAAAGAATAAAGAAACTTTATTATAATTTATATAATAATTATTTCATCAGACATTTTCTTCTTTGAGAATGTCAATATATATATATCAATATATATATATATATATATATATATCAATATATATATATATAAACAAATTTGTTATCCTACCTTAAAGTATACAGTAAATAATTTTATAGCCATAAACGACATGCATTGATTTAATAAAAATATAGTGATATAATACAAAAGAAGTAATTATTACTCAATATTTAATAATATTAATACATTTTTATCATATAATTATACAACAAGAACTATCACAGAATTTAAAAAAGTAACAAAGAATAATTACTTACTTTTTTAACTTTAACTTATCATTGTTTTTAGTATTTTTAATTAAATCACATTTACTATATTTTTCATTATAATCCATTTCAAATGATTCATTTAAGTTAAGTGTATTTTTTATTAACTCTTTTGATGTTTTTTCAACTAAAACAAATGTACCAATTATGTATGAGTAAAAAGTTTTATTCATTTTGTCTACAAGAGGTCATATCTTAAAACATAGTTATAAAATGCTTCAAATAGGTAGTATACAACAATATATAAAAATTTACTTTAGAAATGTAAAAACATATGAAAGTACATTTTAAAACCAATTTTTTCCATTAATCATAATGTATAATAACCTAAGAGTTAAGCACATTTTCAACAATAATAATTATAAAAAAATGTAAAAAAAAAATATATATATAATAAATGATGCCTTTACATTTATTTAAATTGTTTATACTTTTCCACTACTTTTAAAGCATTTATTTCAATATACATAACATGTAGCTTTATCTCTGAATTTAGCAGCCTTTAGTACCTTCTGCAAGTAGACTTAAACAAAATTACTATAAATAATAATAATACCTTCTATTAAATGACATAAAAATTTTTCCTGTTTTTGTAAATTATTTTTTTGAATTGAAGACACTAATTGATCAGTATTTTCTTCATCAGTTAACAAAAATTGAATGGTCTAAATAAAAATAAAAAAAATGTATAATAATTAAATTACTAATTACCCTAAAATCAGTTATGTTAAATATGAAATTGTCAAAATGTTTATGTGTGCTTAATTTAATACTATAAAGAAAGGAATCAAAATCATTTTATTTTCTGACATACATTTTTTGGTTTTTTTGTTGAGTATTCATAAAATCATATGAATATCTGTATTTTTAACAGCTAACAATACTATTTAAATTCTAAATCATTATTATTTTAAAATTCAAGCAATACAGAATATATTGTAGCAAAATGAATAGGGCCACAAGGTTTAATACACAGAAATCAGAAAATCTTAATATGTTTGAACAATTGGATTTATATTTTGAATCATTATTTTTAGTTTTAATTTCTAGAAAATGTATTGATTTAAAATTTAAATAATATATTTCACATTATTCTACAGAATTTAAATAAGAAATCCAACATGAACGTTTATGCTGGCTTACAACTTTGTGGATATTTTTAAATTATATATTTATTTAAAAAATATTGAATAAATACACCAGTATAGACAAATATCAACACTATAATTATGTATAAGATAGTAAGTAACTTACTTTATCATTATTATTTTCCTTCTGATAATGACGAATTTTATTTTCTTCACACTCTTTCATATTCTTTTCATCTTCAAGAAGATTAAGTTTTCTTAAATGCTATAAATAATTATTAATAAATTTAATTAAACATAATAATATATAGTTATTCAAAATAATTGTTACAGACTTTTTGTTCCTCTAATTTTGCCAATTTTTCCTATTAAATAAAAAAAAAATGTATCATTAATTAATAATATTTAATATACACAATGTGTATGATAAACATAGAATGAATATACTATACAATTAATTTATAAAATATTTATTAAATTATAATATAAAGCTTTAATCTTTAAAGTATAATTTACCTGTAATATTGCATCTTGGTCAATCATTTTTGATAATATATTATTTGATTTTTTATTTTGTGCACTTGAAGAAGTCTTATTGTTTTTATAAACTGTCAATATATGATGGTAAATGTTAGTATTGGATAAAAATTTACTTTATGTACTAAATTACAGACATATATACTATAAAATATAAAACCAAATTTTTATAATAATTTACTATTATTTGTAAGCTATATTGTAAGTATATAAATATAATACAATCTACAATATTAATACAATTATAAAAGAAAATATGACATATGTTTAAACATGTATAAATTATATTCTAATACTGTTATAATAAAAAACTGTTTGATGTAGGTACCTTTTTTAAAATAAAAAAATAATAATTAATATTGAAATGAAACTGCTTAAAGATATCAGTTATTTTACATGTTTAAGATTCCAATACTTACTATTATTTAGTTTTTGAAATATCCAAGTTTATACATATAGTACCTATTTTCTTAGAAGATAGTAATTGAATAAGATGATACATTACAGAGACAAAACAATAACAAAAAAAAGACCTAATACAATGGAAATAGATGAATTTTCAGTTATTTATTTAAAATTGCTAAGAAAATAATATTTTACAACTATTTCATTACATTTCACAACAATGAAAACAATGATTTAAATTGAAATAATAAAATTAATTATATAGATTCCATATAATTATTAAATACTCACATATAGAAAAAAAGCTCATTTTTCTTGTAAAAATGTCTAGAATAAAATATATTCATTTCTACTTGGAGTTTTAATTACTGACAATAATCATTAGTGTCAAAATATAATCACTATTTTAGGTATTACAATAATAAATGTTAAATTTAATAAAAATAATACATATTAATTTATACATTTTAAATGATATTACGCCTTACAATATTTGTGCAATTGTGAGCAATAACTAATGACAATAAATTGATAAAAAAATTTTAAATAAAAATAAAAACTTAAATATTTAAAAATTGATAACCAAAAGCGATAAGAAAATATTGTGTACAAGATTTATGATCATCACTCAAGGCCTTGAATTAATAATCACCGCTGCTTATCAATAGTATAAAACCATAAAAGAGCACTACCACCACAGAGTAATTACTCTATGATTACCACAGAACTACTACATACCATAGTGAATTCTTCTAGAGTGATAAGACCTAAAAAAATTCAGTAACAATTTTTCAAATTCATAATCCAATTTGATATAATTATTATTTAAATGATTTTTTAATCAGAAATTATTTTATATGTGATGATTGATAATGATAATTTAAGTTATTTTGTCAAAGACATTTAAGATTATATCGGTGGGTTATAGCGTAAGAAGTATAATTAAACATTGTATGTTAAAATTGTTTTAAATTACTTGTAAAAAATCGGTTAGAGCACGAATACAGCAACAATTTAACTTCGACAACTTCTGTTAGTAGAGGTAAATTCATAATTACATCTAAAGCAATTTCATTCATAATGCAATATCTTGAAAAATCATTTCAACTAATAGTTATTAAAGAAAAAAATTTTCATAAAAATATAACATTTTTAATTATTAAAAGTATAAGGAAAAGTATTTTAAATAAAAGAACTAGAACTACGTGCAGTATTTTGATTTGCGAAATCGCTGCATTATCGATTATCTTATTGATTTAACAGGGGTCGTAAGTCAGTTATTTTGCAGTCGCTAGGTATGTTGCGAACCACGAAAAAAAAGCCACCCGAAAATACACCATCTTCCAGTGCATTTTATAAGGAATTTTCACTGGACGACAAAAAATGTTTTTCTTAAAATAGTCAATGTAATACCATAGTACGACTATATTATTACATGTTTGTTTCGCATTATTTCGCCCAATCATTCAAAATATTGTCGAAAGAGTATAATCACTGGGCGACATTTATGTCGTATAGTTAACTAGTTAAAAAATGCACTGCCATCTTCATAATCCGGCAAAATGCCACCCGCCAAAAAACTATTGTACTACACTACAAACCTTATATTTTTGGGCACGATAATTCTCAATTATTTTTGTATTTATTTCAACAAAGTCACTGAAATTAATTAACTATTATCTAAATTATTTTTTTTCCTCAAATGCTAATTTGGTTAGGAACTTAAAGAATTATGAAATTTATCTAACTGACTAATTTGTACTAACTAAAAAATTTTCAAACGATTAACCATAAATGTTGGAATTTTAATTATTGCAAATAAAAGTGCAAATTTAATTAGATTTATTGTTTTTAGACTATAAATAATTGAAGTCAGTTTTGGGTAACATATTTTATTAATTCAAAAACCTATCTTAAAATTGTACTTACCAACAATCATTCATTTAGAATTAGTAGGTACATTGTAAGGCTGCAATACGATTGCGCGCGGTCCTTATCAACGGTACCTTTTTAGGTGTACGATTACGTGTGCTAAATTATTTTTGCTTCTAAGCAAGGTTGTCAAATATACAGATTATAGGTGCATGGTAAATATCCGATTAGATTCCGATTGTGATGATCCGTACGTTATTTATTATTTAATATCACTGATACCAGACAAACTTTCCATCACTAAGAAGAAGATAATTTTATTTTAAATCATACTTTTATCTTTATTGTAAATTCCCTCACATGTACGAATATACCTAAACTATGATCTCGCATTGTATGTCTATACGTATTTACTGAAATGTGGGGAGGATGGTGGTAGTCTGCTCGTGGCCCTCCCTGCATATGCTATTATACACGCCGAAACCTAACAAGTAGAAGCACCCATAATAGCATAGCTAATACCACCACATAGGCACTGATACCCAGCTCATCAAACACATAGAGTAATCACTATCTTGATACTGAGATGACAAATATAAACGGTCCTTTTAAGGACCAACTGACGCGTGATATTGGGGCTAACCTTACGGTGTGCCACTTCAATATCGAAGGTATATCGAGAGATAAGTGCGAGGTATTGAGTAAACTTATGAACGATGAACGAGTTGATGTTATCGCATTACAAGAAACACACACAGTAGACGACAAGGACCTAAAGAAACGAGGATTTATACCAGGATATGTATTACTCGGCTCAATCAATCACAAACAATATGGTATTGCAACGTACGTGAAGGAAGACTTAGATGATGTGGAGACTATATAGAAATCAGTCTCAGAGAACATTTTTATCTTAGTTACCAGAATAAATGAAGTCAACATTGCAAACATATATAAACCCCCTAATGAAACCTGGAGTAGCCCTCCTATAAAAGTATTGAAACACCCAGCAATATATATAGGTGATTTTAATAGCCATAGCACAGCATGGGGATACGACGGCAATGACAGTAACGGAGATGCTCTAGACGAATGGATCACATTGAATAATCTACATCTTGTATACAGCTCAAAGGATAAAGGAACGTTCTTTTCAGACAGATAGCAAAAAGAATATACTCCGGACCTAAGCTTAGTCTCAAGGGCGTCACTCATTGACAATACAATGGCCACACGGCAGGTAATGAGAGACTTCCCCCACAGCCAACACAGACCAGTAATTATAAAATACGGCTTGCAAATACCAATGGTCCGGTCAATTCCCAAACCTCGCTGGAATTTTAGGCGAGCAAACTGGAAACAGTATACCAAGGAAGTAGACCATCTCTTACAATGGATTCCACCAGTCGCCAATAACTACGAGCGTTTCATTGGAGTTATCAAAACGGTAGCAAAGAAACACATACTAGAAATATTACACTGTTTATCTGTCCTGAATTAACTCATAGTAAATAAAAATATTAAGGACTAATATTTTTCTCAATGGGTTTTCAAAGTATCTGTAGGTAGCTGTTGAACTCATGCAATACATTTTAAAATTCTAAAGTGGCGCCAAAAACGTAATTAATTCTTTTTGGAGCCTTTTTGTCGATTTAAGTAAAATTAGATTATCGTATCAATATGGACGTTAGGTTGGTAGTGTAGTACGATGGTTTTTAGCGGGTGGCATTTTGTCGGATTATGAAGATATTATATTGTCGAGTGGCTATTTGTGGTGTAACGATATGTAGTGTTGTAGCTCTACTACTCTAGAAGATAATATGAGACTCAGTCTTTTCACCATCAGCCTTTGACTTCCTCAACTTTGTAAAAACCACTAGGCCTGAAATAAATTGTAGATCTATTAATTATTTTTCTGTGTACAGTATTTTTTTTTTTTTTGTTAAGAATTATTATAAAATACAGAGTTAAGATTATTTATTACTTTGATATTAGGGTGACGCGGTGTTTTATTATAGTAGCCAAAGGTGACATGAACGAGAAAAGAATTAAAATTACTGTTTTAAAGTTTCCCATATTTTTAAAAAATAAATCTGGTACGAAGAAGCAAATGGAATCGGACATGATAGCTTTATTGACTACCATTGGTTACTTCTTTATAGTTATCCAAAATTCTGGTAAATATAATAATGAAAACTTGGATTTTGTAATTGAATCTGAGGTTAAGTCTATCAGTAACTTATACATCAAAAACTGCTGTTCTTATTCAAAAATTGTTAGTTCTTATAGTAGAGTAGCAGTTAAAGGATCTTTAATAAAATATTGTTGTTGATCGTCCTCGAGAAAATTATTTGACAGATTTTATCTAGTTGAAATTATTTTCATGAAGGAACATGTACAATGAGGGGAAACGGATTTAAAAAAAATCTTCATTAATTTTGTTCTTCCACAAGACTAATTTTCTTTTAAAAGAAGTAATTTTTTTAGTTAACTGCAAAATATGAGTCTTGTAGAGATATATTAAGTATATATTAAGTACATCAAGGTTTCAAAAATATCACATAAGTATGATAGTTTTATTAGAAAGACTTAATTTTCAAAGTTTTTTGTTCAAGAAGAAAACAATTAAGTTCTTTTTGAAGTTCAAATATTCTTCTTTACACATTCTTCTTAACACATTTCTTCATTAAAGTCAACAGGAGTTACAATAGTACAAAAAAGATATGCTCAGCTCCCATGTCTTTACACATTTGGACTTTACAGGTCGAGTTTTGATGAAGTTAACTATTTCAATAACAGATAGCAAGACTTTATTAAGGCTTGAATTAATAGTTTTTGAAGCGAATACACATATATAGAGTTTGCGAACTTACACGGCCTAAAAAAAAAGATAATAAAAACTATATTATATTTTTAATTTCAACTGCGAACGCGGCTCCTTTGATAATAATAGACGACGCGCATGGGAGCCGTGACACACAGGTTGAAAACCATTGTTATAGATAAATACGGCTTGGCTACACTCAAAAATACATTAGATTTTTACATAAGGGCCGGTTATATCAATTTTATATGGAGCCATTTCTAGTGTCATATTCCTAAGAGACCTAGAAACTGTTTTCAAACATTAAAAGTTCAATCAACCGTATTAACAAATTTGGTTCTACTACTATATCAACCATTTTGTAACCATTATGTAATGGTTGGTTGTTAGGTAATTTTTGTCTTTTCTGAAACTAAATGTATTAATATTAATAATAATATAAATAATTAACTATTTATTTTAATAGAAATTAATATGAAAAAAAAAACAACATAATTAACATAATTCTACGAATTTTATAACTGATGATGCCAAATAGTCAACAGTATTTAATATAGGCAAATAATGGTATTTAACCTGAACTCAACTATTATATTACTTTATCCTTCATGAATATAATCAGTAGGTAATCTATTTTAAGATTCTCTTTACTATAAAAAAATAATAAAATGGTAATAAGTAGAGCGGATTTAAAGGTTTATACATATTTTTATTGGCTTTATGTAGATTTATGAGGATGAAAAATGTGGACAGTTTATCCATCATAGAGTTCATAATAAAACATTTATTTTGCATATTTTGGACATATCCAATTATTGTTCATAAAAAAGCATATTTTATTTAATTCTCGAGTTGTAATTTTTCTAGGAAAAAAAAATTTAATTGTTATATTTATATTCCCATGTATAGAACTGTTATCCATTTTTTCCACTTAAATAATTTATCTTTTACCAAGGAATGGTGCATACAAGTTATTCATTGTTTTTATTTAACTATTTTGTTTTTTATATATAATTGTATTATATTTATATTTCTATGTATGAACTGTTTTAAATTTTTATATTTAAATAATTTACCTGTTATCAAAGGAATGGCCCATAACAGTAATTTAATGTTTTTATTGAACTATTTAAGAAAAAAAAAAAAAATCATATTATCGTATATTTACAAGTTTAAGAAATATTTAGAGATTATTTTAGGATTTTTTTTAGATTATATTAGCATCATATTTTAAGATTTTAAGAACCTAAAAATCCACTCTTTAGTAATAAATAATAACTAACAATTTATAAATGTACTAAATTACAAAAATTATCTATATTTAATTCAGAATTATAAACAAGTACAAACATAAACTAACTATAATTTAATAAAGCATTATGAATAATTATAAAAAAAAAAAAAGTATAAAACCTTTCCATAGTTAAATGACAATGTTAAATGCAAAAATAATTTCAAAAGCTTATAAATACATATATATATATATATATATACATGAGTAATTATGGTTTATTTTTTTACACGCAATTTGGAAATTTGAAATAGCGCTCGAGATGGAGTAGGTATTGAATCCAAAATGTTATCCTGTTTTAAAAAATTTAAAAATTAAAATATTATACTAACATTTAGGGGTTGAAGTAGGGAGAGGAAGATAGGAATTCATCCAAAGGTGGAAAATTGTAGGTGTTACTTTTGTAGCATAAAATTTATTGATAACTGGTTTGATATTTTTAACTTTGTTAATGATGTGTTTAAAACTCAATAAGTATGATTGTACGCTAATTATAAGAAAGATATTGTGATTTTAAAATAATTAAAATTTTAACATTTTCACGTGAAAAAATTCTTACTTCCACCTCTGCTACACATGAATCATTAATACTCACAGAGGGCACAGTAGCACTTTCAGCCAATATAGATTTACTGTCAAATAATTTACGCTTGCGTGTGCTATAAGGAATATTATCGATTGCTTCATCCAACATTTTGTCATCAAGAGTATAGCCTGCATATATAAAAAAATTTACTAAGCAAATAAATATTATGAATGTTTTTAATGTACATTATTTAAAAATTTTATAATTTATTTTATTTAACATTGAGTTAGACTTATTATTAAAAAATTGTAGTCATCACACCAACAAATTAGAATTTTCATTACAATAGAAAAAATGTATTAGTTTTTTTTTTAGTCAACTCTTTCAAAAAGCAAAATTTAAACACTAATTAAAACATTTTTAATACAAATCTTTTATTCTCTATGTGAATTAATACTATATAAATATTTGATATATTTATATAATTACTTGGCATCAAATTTTTCTTATCCCTGCAAAAAATACAAATAATCATAAAAATTGAACTTATTTCAAACTTTGTTTTGTTGTGATTGAGTTACAAAAATTATAAATAAAGTTTAGATTAATAAGGAGCCAAAAATATAATATGAGTAAAAGGGTAAATCAATTTTATTTAGACATTTAACTTACTTTTTAGCTGTTCTGCATTTTCGTACAGATTTTGATTCAGATTTAACTATCTAAATACAAAAAAAAAAAAATTCATTATGTATATATAATTAAAAAAAACATCTATATTTAAATTTTACTTTATTTTCCTTCTCTTCATATTCAGTTTGATATCGTAAAGGCTAAAATAAGAATATAAAAATTATAACTTAGGCTAGCTATGATACAAAAATTAACTTACTGAACCAATGTTGCTTAAATCTGTTAGTATTCCAGTACTTTTGGTCATAGGCTAAAATATTAATATAAACATTATAATTTAGACAAGCTATTATACAAAAATTAACTTACTGAACCAATGTTGCTTAAGTCTGTTAGTATTCCAATACTTTTGGTCATAGGTTTCTTTTCTGTTACCTCAACTTCTCTGTAATAAAAGGAAAAATTATGAATAAATGATGATTAAATTTTTTTATTTTAAAGTTATTACTTTAGCTTAAATTCTAATTCTTCTATTTGTTTTTGGAGTTTTGCTATTTCTAAATCTTTTTCTATAAAAAAAAAATAGTTAAATATTTAGATAAAAATAATATGTATACGATATAGAAATATTATTAATCAATATAATTATATATTACAATCCCAGGATTTCATATCTAACTTCATTTTTATAAGTTAATAGCCAGGTTCGGACCTACATTAATATCGATTAAAGTTTTTGTAAGAAAGGATGACTATAATTTATATTTCCTAGTGTTCTATGTCTTAATATTGATTATACTAGTCAAAAGAAAGTTAAGTAAACCATATAATATAAATAATGACTTTTCTGTATGTTATATTAAATAATGTGAAAAATATTTGATTAATAATACTAAAACTTTTTATATATAATTAACAAAATTATGAGTTAATACAACTATTTTACAATTTTGTAATAGACAATAATTAAGAAATCAAAAAATATATAATAAAAAAAATATGTAAAAAGATTTGTTCAATGCACGAAAAAACTAAGTCAATATTAATAATTATTACTATGCTCAATAAATTGGCATTTTATTTAATATTTAAAGATATATAATAAAAGTATGGGATGTATTTAAAATTAAATTAAATGCACATTGTTTTCAATTAATTGACAATATTCATAATGGTTAAATTATAATATATACTACTGATATCCTAAAAAATAGTTTTATACAATAACTAGAAATTGTTCAAATGTTAATTTATATCTAGAATAAAACACAAATTATTAGTTAAATTATTACATAATCTTATTACCTGATAATTTTGAATTGATTTCATTAGAATTTTTATATTCATCAAGTGTTTTAGACTAAAATAAAAAAATAAGATAAGTATGATTAAAGAAATTCACTAAAAATATAAATTATACCATAATCAGATATTGTTTTCTCAAAGTTGAGTATTGTTGAAAAATTTGAGAATTTGTTTCTTTATATTTGTTGTTCTTAATTTGTAACTTTTCAATTTTATTTTCCAAGCTAAGAATTGTATTTAATTTTTCATCCATATATTTGAGTATTTGTTTTTCAACCTAAAAAAATTCAAAAAGTTTAAATTCAAAGATCAACATTGATTAAGAACACAGAGCTAAAAATGTATTAAACCTACTGGAATTATTAATTTGTACGATTAACATAAAAAAATATCTAATATATGAATAATACTAAGAATGTTAAAAATATATAACCAAATAAAGTTTAGATTTAGAAGAGAAATAAATACTAAATAATAAAAATAAATGATCTTACAGCTTCGGTTATCATTTCTTCTTGATGTTGTTCCATGTCTGTAATAATATTATCTTTGGCTTCTAAGGAACCAGTTAACCTTTCTATTTCTAAATCCTATAAACGTTTACATTAAAAATGAAATATTATGAATTCAAACAATTCTGTCCTGTCCTGCTAAGAATAAATTTTTAAGTTGGTTCCATGTCATTTTAAGATAAATGCACTTTTGTTTAGTAATTTATGGAGATTTAATTTTTTATAAATATATAATTGTTTTTTTAAGTAAAATAAACCTTCTTCTATAATATTATACCTGATGAAAACAATGAAATTATTTATTATTATTATTAAATTATTATTTTACATGTATGAAATCAAAAAAAATATATATAATAAAGAATAATAATAAATAAGAATTAAACAATATAATATGGCTAAATAACTTCTATTTCCGTTACAATAATACCATATATAAAAGCTAAGTAAAAATGTTGCATTTGAAATATAACTGACAAATTTAAGTAATTTTGATTTATAAATATTTTGCTAATTCCTGTTTTCTTCTTTTTTCCCATAGCATTTTTTACTTATTAAAGATATATCAAATTAATAATTATAAGTTGAAGAGTGTGATTAAAAGTATTTAATTTTTTTTTTTTTTTAATATAAAGCAATCTTTTTTAGCAGGACAATAAACATAAATATTATTTAAAACTGAATATATAAATATTAAACATACTTTTTCATCTAAATATTGATATATTTCATCAAATCGATTATTCTTTTCATTTATGACGGCTTCCAATTGTTCATACTCAGTAGTTGCCTCTTTTAACATGATTTTATAATTCTAAATAAAATGAAGGAAATTGAAATAAAAAGTAACCATAAAATTCAAAATGAAAAAAAAATACTTACATCAATTTCTTGATTCTTAGCATTGAGTTCTTCATGTCTCATATCCTGTGTATTTTTTAAGGCCTATAAAGTGAAATATTTGATTATAATATGAATTAAATAATATGCATTTTAATATATTACATTAAGTTCTGCAAGCAACTCTTCATTTTGTACTTCAAGTTCACCAATTCTAAATTCATAGTTTTCCATGGTACTTTTATTATCATTTTCATGGTTATTTAAGCTAACTGGGTTTGATTGAAAATTCTGATTAAATGACAATTTTAAAACCATTAAACCTAAACTTGAAAAAAAAAACTTGGGATAAATAAATAAATTACCGCTAATTTTTCATCTCTTTCTTTAATTTCTTCTAAATAAAAATCTTTCAATCTTTTTATTTTATTTTCATAAATTTCTGTTCTATTTTTGATTGAGGCTGCTTTCTGTTCTCTAAAAATAAATAATAGTTGTTGACTAAATTATATTGTCAAGTACAAAGCACTCACTTATAAAATTTCTCATTACGATCCAAGATAACACGAAACTCTGAAAGTAAGTGTTGTCGAAGTTTGGTTTGTTCTTCTTTTAATCTTATTTCAAAATCATTATAAGATATCTGAAAAAAATTAAATTCTTTTTGCTATTCAATAAATAAAAAATAGTTTTATACATTTTACAGACCATTGGTTCCTCTTCTGTATTTGATTCATCCAAGTTTTCATCTTCATTAATTGAATCTAAAATACATACATTTACTTTCACACAAATATTTATATAATATTAATATATATTTATTATTACTCAGTTTAGATTTAGTTTGATCTATGTTTTTGCAATTATTTGCCGTCCAAATAACAAAACTTGGTCTGGGTTTGGAAATTGTTTTAGTTTTGCTTTTAGTAATTGAACGTACAATAGCAGACATGAATAATACTTGTTTGGTTTCTTCAAATAAGCTTGGAGATGTATCAACATTGACTGCCATTGATATACCAGTTTTATTACAGCCTGTTAAGGCAGTTTGAAAAATTTGGGTTAATTTAGATTCTCTGTATGGAACCAAATTATTTTCACCTCGCTTTTGGTTTTCACTTAAAAGAACAAAAATAAATAAATAACAATAATACACATTTAATTAATTTAAGTTAGTTGATGAGGTAAAAATTACCGTAACACAGAAAAACACTTGTTCAGTACTAATAATGAAGTATTTATATTCTTAGATTCTACAAGGCGATCACCAATGTTCAATGTTTTTTTAAGACGTTCAGAGCCCGCCAAGTCACAAAATGAAATACTAAAAACAAGTTAAATTTTTTTTAAAACCAAGACAAATATTTTAAAAATATATATATATATATATTTTTATTAAACCTGCTAATAACAGCTGTTTTAGGATTTTCAACATTTTCTACCCTCATTAATTTCATAGTGAAAATACAATGTGAACGGCTAGAACACTTATTCAAATTATTGCTTGCAATTTTTAAATTATTTTTACCAAAAGTCAAAACTTTATATGCTTCTTCAGCAGACCGAACAAATACATGACTTAAATCTAAAAATGATTATAAATAACATTAGCTAACTATAAGTATGAAATATATTTTCATAGCATATTTTTCAATGCACTTGGAAGTAAACACATATATAGACATACCTCTTACATATACATTTTTATCTTGATCAAGTGAAAGTTTGAGAGGAGTTCTTTTCTGTTTAGGCAAGCAAGTTACCAAAAGATCATAGATGGATTCATTGTAAATTTCTGAGTAAGAAACCCAAACAGTATAGAAAACATCACCATGATCCAATGTTACATTATCAACATCTTTTATTAAATCAAACATTTTTGTTATGTCATTATTTGTCAGATGATCCATACTATGAATTGTCTGACCCTCATCAATTTGAGATACAGAAGACTTTAAACCTTCCTATAATAATAAAAATGAAATAGGAAGTATAAAGATAATGAAACGTTGTATTTAAAATTTACTTGTATTTTTTCATTGCACCAATTATTTAAAATATTATTTCGAAAACTTTCTTCAACTTTGATTAAATTTTCATCTAATATATGTGCGGCAATAACTTTATCAGGTTTATACTTGCACTGAGCCATTAGTTTATTATTTAATGTGTTAAAGACTAGGAGAAGAGTTCTAGGAATAATACCAGGGTCATTTAAATTTCCTATGAAAACAAAATTTTATTTTTTATTAACTGATTATAATAAAAATAATTATTAAATAAAAACTACCATGGATAGTATAAGTCTTTCCAGCATTTGTTGTGCCATAAGCAAATAGTAATTCATTATTTCCATTCAAAAATCGTAATACTTTATCATATATCCAGGTGTCAAAAAATTTTTTTTGATCAACTTCAGGACCAAATACACTGGAAAACATATACCTAAAACCCAAGTTAATATTGTTAAAACCAGTTAAGAATAAATATGTATAATTCTTACTCTATTACATCTTCACGTGCATTTCCACTTGAACAAGCAACTGTGTTATCACTTAATATTGTTAATGTATCAACCTACATAAGAAATATTTTAAAATTATGTTATTAAATACATTTATTTACATAAAAGATAATATTTATATTTAACATATTTACTGCACACATGATTTTTGGCCTACTACGCCAGTGCTCGTGTTATTTTTTATATTAATTTTTTTTTTTTTATTATTATGAATTAATTTACAGATCAGTAGGAACAGTCCATCTCTTTATGATTTTATTTTTAAAATTATAATATCCCAAAGGGATTACAAGAGCAATATAGTTTACAAAATATTTATAGCATAGACAATTATTTAAGAACTTAATATTATATTTTTTAATATAAGATGAGAATAAAAAAAATAAAATAAAAAAAGTATGGTATGCTGTTACAAGCATATAGGACTCTGGACTATTATTGATCATATTTGTTGAGCATTTTGGGATCAAAAAGAGGAAATTATTTCTTGCATTGAATGTTGGAATATTATGGTTTATTATACTTAGGATTTAGAGGCAGAATAGTTTATCATTTATCATTTTATAACTTTCTAGAGGTCAGTGATTCTATACGAAATTTTACAGCTAAGGAATTTAAGAAGACATTTACTCAATGTAATTTGTTTACCATTATCCTTAAGAAACATCATTAGATTTTTTTCAATTTTAATACATAAATTATTTTGTTTGTATTTAGATACATCCTTTGAAAGCACTGGCCAAGCATGAAATTACATACAGTTATGTACGCCGAATAAATACAAATTTACCAACAGTATATTTAAAATATTAATTGATATTGTGTTCAGTATATATATTAAACAGAAGAATTATACCTACTGCCATAAGCTTACCTCATTACTTGGAATACTAAAGGTTCGTGGTTTTAAACGTAAACATACATCAATTTTTGGAGTCCCAGAATTGTCATTACACTTTTCTAAAGAATAGTTCAGCACTATTTTAGGTTTGCCATTTATTTTTCTTTGTCCAAAACCAGTAATACTTGGAACTCTTGGTTCAACATAAGAACCAGTAGAATGATTTTCTCTAGAATCATTCATCTTAATTCTTTCTATAAAAACCTAAAATTAAAAAAAAATTAATTCAATAACAATAAACTGATTTAAAAATAATTTTAATGCAATTTTATAACTTAAAATTTTTACAGTATTAAATGGTAAAAGAAATTTTTTTTTTTTTATTAAAATATATTTGCTATTATAAACACAACATTGAAAATTAAAATATATTCAGAATATCATTATTATCCCCCCCCAAAACCAAAAAAAAAAAAAAAAAAAAAAAAAACATTATTTTGAGGATTGCATAAAAGTACTACCTATTTGGTTTATGAATTTACTTCTTACTTTTCTAATAAAATATTTACATTTTTACAATTTGTATAACATCAAATAGCTAATTCCAGTTAGAAGATCAAATTAAGATTTCGCAGTCATAAATAATAAATAATAATCTATGATTATTCTCTACACAATATAAACACAGTAAAAAATCGTTCAGACGCTTTTGAAGCGTTTTTTATACGGGATCCCATCTGACAGTAGCAGAGCTAACTTTTTTTTAAGTAAGGCACTGATGAAAAATTTTAACCACCCATTCACCAATTATTACTCATACACATCAAAATAACCATTTTGAGAAAATGCATGATTGTATTAATTATATTTGAACTTACTCAGTGGGCAATGATCATCCAACCATATATTTAAAAAAATCTGTGAGTCCAAAAGCTCACAAAACTACCTTTACGTTGCCGCTGCCATCTGATATACTTTTTAAGTGTTTTGAATGGTATGCCAGATAAAATAAATTAGAAAATGTTCCAAGAGTTAAATGTTATTTAATACATTGTAACATATATACATATTAATGGAAAAAAAAAAAAAAGATCGATTATAAATAAAAAATATTTTTAATATCAAAAAGTTGTTTATTATCGATAAGATAAACTTTACAATCAAAATGTTATTAAAGTATATATTAATCAGGTTTTTTTTCCAATATTAAAAGATATTAGAGACCAGTAAAATTAGCGCATTATGCGGGATTACGTACTATAAGAGAGCTTATTAATAGTGTTTTTTTCAATGCTAAAAGATATATGGGTACTAGGGACTGGAAACAATCTGTGTATTAACAAGGTCTTACTGTAATTGAATATTGTATTATTTTGTGCAATGAGTTTATTATTGATGATATATGTAATTGCATTAAAAGAGAGCTCAAAACATATGTATAAAGAAAACCTATGAATATGTACTAACTATTTAATACTCAATAATAAATTTTTTTAATTTACATAAGCTATACAAAAACAAAAATTATGTAAAAAAAAAAAAAAACTACCAATTTATATAAAAAGGTAAATATAAAAAAATCAGGCTTCTTAATAAACAAATTCATTCAAATTTAACTTAACAGTTGATCAGGTCTAACCGAATGCTATTTTCAAAAAAAGTTGGTCGTACTTCCCTTAGAAGTTATGATCAAAAAAAACATTACCAATCTGAGTAACACACATTACACGTATTCAACTTGTAGGTTATATAATTATATATAAATATATATAATAAAAAATAGAAGATAAATAAAATATGACATAAAATAAATAAATAAAATAAATCCAATAAAAAATGACATCACAGAAGAGTGGAGAAGAAGGAAAAATAAAGAGTTTCAAGAAATGTTTAATGAAAACAACACAGTGGACGATTAAGAGAAGACTGCGTTGGGCAGGACATGCAATGCGGAGCCAAAACTTTCTACTAAGAATGGTGCTCAAACAGAATCCAGTTAGAAAAAAACCCTCGGGAAGACCAAAATTGAGGTGAGAAGATACAGTTGAGAGAAATGTACATGAATCAGGAGACGGATCAAACTAGGATTTGGCGAATAGAGACGAATGGAGAATTGGTCGTGAGACGGGATGGTCCTAGTGGCCGAATAACCCAAAAAAAAAAAATAAATATTTTGATTCTATAAACCAGCTATCACATTAAGCGGAACTCACTATACTATATAAACAATTATAATTAATCTCCAAATCTACTTGTTATGTAATGTGAGGACAATTCAGTTTAATATTGTTAATTTTACATAAATTAATAAAACTGCAAGAGTCTAACCAAATTGAAAACAACCCTCGATTTTCTGTAAGAAACCACCTCAGTTGTAATAAGATTGGTTCATACCATTAAAAGTAAGTTACACTAAATTTTTGATTTTACTGAAATATCAAGAATGAAAAATTCGCGTTTTGAAAAAAAAAATATTCAATCATTTTAGAGCATTTTTAAGTTTTTTTTTCACCAAAACTTCTAAATGAAGATTGACTGGCTTTTTGAAAAGTACCATCTTATTATACATGCGAAAACATGTAAATTTAAAAAAAATTATTAAAAATAGCTAGAGAGCTATTTATACCACAATTTAGTCGTCATGTAACACCTAAGCATCATTATTAATAATTATAAGTAGTAACACAGATTAAAAATATAAAAAATAAATGGTTAAGATTGACAATACTAAATTGAAGTGGTTCCCTTTTCATTAAAAATGAATAGCATCTTTAAACTGGTATGTAACTTACAATAAAAAAAATTATTTTAATTGCAATTTTATTTCAAAATAAATTAACCTTTGTATTATTAAGTACCAGTCTGAGTGTACAGACTTATGTAACGGAAGAGGAATAAAGACAATTGTACAGCTTCTCAATTAATTAAAGAACTAAAGACTTTTAAATATTTACCATATTAAATAAATTCTAAATTCTATAGTATAATTTCATAAAATAATTCAAAGTAGAAATTAAAATATTAAGTTAAGCAGCATGAAGGTGCTTGCATTTACCAGATTAAACCATATTTGAATATTGGGTCTGTTAGCAACCTCCATTTAGCCTCCAGTGCCTAATGTCCATTTCAAAGGACATTTATATTTACCCCCCTCAAGTGCCAAGCCACTTTTATTTTAAATTTACATGATATGATGTTATAACCTCAAAGAAGATATGATAAGGAACATAATAAATAATATAAACATTTTTATTTTTATCGTACCACATATAAAATACTCACTAAAAAGTGTCCATTACAATGGACATTAGGTAATTGTTACTACAACGAAATTTTAATTTTACGCTATTAAGATTTTTATTTAAATAATTAATCTCTTAAACTATATATAATGATCTTGTTGACTATGATTTATTAATTAAAAAAACTAAATTACTTTTTATGGAAAATAAAAAAAATCAATTATTGCTTGTGGTAATGCAAAAATACAAAGAACATTTGCTGCATTGAATCTTTTTTTTTTTTTATATCCTTCATATCGACACTTTGATGAATCTTTTAACAGATAAATTTGAATGAAACATTTTAAAATTTTGAAAATTTTTTGGTATGCACATCTACAATGAACCTAATACACAATTTCACTGAATAACTGTTTAAACAATTTACACTAATAGAATTAATTACAATAACAGCTTATCAAATAATAAATAGTATGCTTAGTACAAAAATAACTTGTAATAGACATGGACATATATTATTATTAAAATAAAAATAAACCACTATAGGCATTCCCAGAAGTAAATATATTTAAATGTATTAGTAAAAAAAATATTTTAATCATAAAAGCCAGATGTCCATTCTAATGGACATTGTTTGAAACAATATAACAAATATTTAAACATAATTTATTATTTTCAAATTTAACAAGAATACACATTAATGTTTATGTAAATAAAAATTTTTTTAACTTTCTTGTCTAAAATATTTATATAAATATAAAATTATTTTAATAAAGACGGTAAAATTACTTAATTAATAAACAAAAAGATGTAAAAAATTTATTAATATAAGTTAACAACAAATAAGTATTACAATGAAAATAAGTAAAATAATATAATATCTAAAAAAAGCTCATTAGAAAGGACATCTGGCACATACGATTACAAATGTTAAAAACAGGTCAGGCGTTAACGGGGTAGAAAAATATGTCCATTTCAAATTGGGGCCACAAGGACGCACTAAGTATGGGTGTTGGATGGACATACCATTAAGCGTGCACACCATCGTCGATATGATGTCCGATAAAATTTTGTTATAATTTATTTTGTCTTAACTAGTATATAATTGGTTGTAAAGTTATAAAGACGTATTGCATAATATTTTCACAAAATTTTTTTAAATATGGAACCACACAGTTTTTTCCCTTTAGTTCATAAACCTATTTATACCTAAAATAAAAACAGACTAAAAGGGAATATTAGGTTCATCCAAAAAATTGTGAACGATATACAAATGGTCATTACGTGAAGTTGTACTATAAACTTCGAGAAGATTCGTCAAAATATTTTAACTACTTTCGCTTTTCTGTAAGATCATTCGACGAACTTTTACTGTGCATCAAAAATATGATATAACGTGCGTATAGCGTACACGGAAATGTGCCCGTGTGACCATGTAGCTGATGTTCACATTTAAAATACAAATTCAATTAGATTGGACGTTGATACGTTCGACGTCCGTTATATTTAACACGCATTACTCGTGTGCCGGCTCCTGTAATCGATAATATTCTACGACGCACGTCAAAAAGTACGTGCATTTTGTATGCTCGTGTGGCCTCAGCTTTAATGGACATTAGATACTTAGAATTACGAAAATAACAAATGATTCCGGCGCCAGGAGGATATACTCAGGTCTCATGGGAATCAGTTGTTCGGCACTATGGCTTTATAATATAAAGTTAATTCCAATTATTATTTAACACTCTGAGGTGCTAAATGCGTACGTTTCCAGACTTATTACTATAATGATTGACCTCGCTAATATTTCCTCTCGCACAAATCTCATATTCTGTTGTGCACTCTTACAATGAATTCTAGAATTAATTGGATTTCCTGTCTCAATATTACTTTGAAGTGCCGCCATGTTACTCACATTTACGTATGTGTTTGTGTTACTCTTTGGTCCTATAATCGTGCCAATAATTCCTTTTTACATCGTTTACGCAAGTCCTATATTATTTATTATTTATGTGGTCCTCCTATGTAGTGATGGTCACAAGGACCTACATTTATAGATGTAAGTAACAGTATACTATAGGCCGGTTGGCTGTTATTGTAACAATGAAGTAAATCATGAAAAACTTGACAAGCGGTTAATTCTTGCATTTGAGCAATTTGCGTACTTACCAAGTACACAACTTACGTTCAACACTAAAAATTCACAAAATACACAATAAACACACGTACTTCAAAATATGCCTCGATGTGAAAATGCAATAGCGGCGACGGTGATTATCAAATTACACAACTAACGTTCAACACTATAAATGCACAAATTACAACAATTCAGTTTAACGAAAGTAGATTTATAAATGACCGATGACTACTTTGTTTGCCGTTAGCCGTTGACCGTTAACCAATTGGGACTCTTTTTAAATCGAGCTAGTGTTACCAACTGTTGCCATCAGCTGTATGGTTCAATAGATGTAAAATTGTATTACCGGTAGAACGCCCAATCGTTACGAAATGTTAAATGCAGTGGCGTAATTAAGAATTTGGTTTGGGGGGGGAGATTATAGGTTTTAGAAAAAATCTGTACACCTCATACAGTAACCCTCCCCCACCCCACCAGAACAAAATTTTTAATAATTTAAATTTTAATAATAATAATAATAGTAATCGTAATAATAATAAGAATGATAATAATTATCACAATATAAAAAATAAAAAAAAATAAATTACATAAAAGAAGTTTTGGGGGGGGTCCATCCCCCTAATCCCCCTTAATTACGTCCCTAGTTAAATGGGGCAGTTGCAATTTAAATTTATTTAATAAGCCAAAGAATTTACAAAAAACGTTACTCCTTAGCATGCGCATATCTAGGAATTTTTTATGGGGCGAGAGGTCAGTAAATTTAAACTTCCTATTTGTAAAAATATAGCATATGATGAAATAATGAAATTTATTGTATTAATGTTTAATTTATTGCATTCAATTTATTGTGTTTAAAGAAATAAAAAATATTAAACATTATTAATAAAATACATTATATATATTATGTACGATTTTCAGGGTTAAAATAGGGTTTTTAGGTAATTAGGGTTATCACCTAATTACAATACTATATCAATTTTTCTTATAAATAGCACTAAAAATTGGAAAATATGCAAAATAAAATTTCATTAAAAAAAATTTTTATTTAAATTTTTTTTAAATTATACAAGTTTTTTTATAAATTATGAACAGTAAATATTTGAGAAGTAGGCACTTTTCCGGCTCTGGAACATTTTCTGTTAACATAAACATATAAAAAAATTTATTAATAAATGAATAATATAGTGTATTAATTTTATTTACCTTAAGAATTGTACTGAATAATAAGATGTTTTCTTATACTTTCAAATTCGAATGATCTACGATTATTTGATAGTAGAGTTATGTATGCCGAGAATGACCGCTCTACATCGACAGACGTCACGGGTGCGTACTTAAAAAATGTTAAGTCGCTACAATTTAAGTCTTCGGGAAGACTATCTAAATTTCGGAATGTCTCTTCATCCGTTAGAACTTGTGATATTTTTACCAACGCCAAGAGACCACGATTTTTTTCCTGTACCTGATTAAATTTATTTTGAACAGATTATCCATTTGGACCACTTAATGTTTCAAATAATTTTTGAATATCTTGAACTATTTTTAGTGAATCCGATAAAGGCATATGTTGCCGTTGTAATTGTTCAATAGCCAAAGTTAATTTGGCAAAGTTCGACTTAATATACGTTAAGTTGTTTTCCAATCCAGGTTTTATGATGTCACCTTTAATACTAACTGTAACGTTTCTGTCTAGCATAAAAATAACACGGTGGATTATCCCGAAATTCTCGCAATAATAAATTGCTGAGTTAATCCAACTTCCTCAGCGTGTGGTAATTAGCTCCGGAGGTTAGGGTAAGTTTGGCGCTTCCAATTTAAATACAAGTAAACGACTTGGGGCTTTTCTAAAGATTTTTTTTACGCTTGAAATAACTTTATCTACTATGTGAAATTGATTTCTAACTTCTTCTGCGACTCTGTGCAGTCCATGCACAACACATGTTACATGAATTATTTTTGAGTAAAGGCTTTTTAGTACTTCTCCTGATTTAACCATGTAGGGTGCGGCATCGAATAAAAATAAAAGTACATTGTCATGGTGGATACCAGCCGGCCATAATACGCTCATTGATCTATCAAAAAGTTTGCTGATTGTGGAGTGGTTAGCTTTTTCTAGTTCCTCCGAATTAAGTAAAAACATATTGCCTGCATTATTTTCCTCAAGAGTGCCTACTAACGACCCTGTACATCAGTGGTCTCGTCGATACTGACCCAAATTTTTTTGTCAGAAATTATTTTCCTATTTTTATTCATGGTCTCATTGTAAATATCATCCACATATCCTTTTCGCAGTGTGGATTCACTCGGAAAATCATTTTTTGTATATACTTCCAAAAATGTTTTGAATTTTGGGTTTTCTAACTTGTTCAAAGGAATGTTAGCAGAAATAAAAGCCTCACACAAATCTTTGTTAAATGACGATTTTTTACTAATATTACTTGTCACTATCAATAACTGCTGTTGTTTCCGATTTATTTGATTTTCATATCGGGCAAGGCCTTTGATATATTTGTCACTTTTTATATGTTGTGATACGTTTAACTTTTTGTCAGAATAAACTTTGACTTCACAAATTTTACAAAATAATACACTTTTATCAATTGAAAAAATATTAGGACCATACATATTAACATAGGTTTGGAGCAGTGGCGTAGCCAGGATTTTTAAATGGGGAGGGGGCTAACTACTTTTTTGGATAAGTAAGGTAAGAGAGGATATGAGAATTCAGCCTTAACCCCCCCCCCCTCACCAACTACCACCAAGTTTCTAAACGTAATTCAAGCATTTTAGTATAGTTTTAAAAATATTTATTAATATATAATTTATAATAATAATAATAATAATAATTTTGGTTTCAGTGTACAGTCACTTGTTCCACTCTGACAGCTGCATCCTCTTAGGCGAATTTCTGGCAAATTCAGTTATTATTGCACTTTCATCGAATTGCTCTTTTTTATTTATATTAGCCATAGCTAACCCATTCAGTCTGTTTTCCAACATGGTGCTTCATAAAAAAATTTTTAAGCGATTAAGTCCTGAAAACGTTCTTTCCGGAGTGAAAGAGGTAACTGGTAACGTGGCGAATAATTGTAAAAGTATTTTAATGTTAGGTCAAAGATTGATGTGATGAGAGAGTGAATCAAGAGCAGAATTCGGTTTTGGAATAGTATTTTGACTCCATTGTTGCCTCCATATGAACAGGTTAGCTCTGATTGTAGATGAGGTATCATCATGGAGATCTTGGACATATATTTTAGCAGTTTTTATAATATTTTTATCGTCATACATATTTAAATTGGCCGGAATAAGTCCTTCAAGTGGCATAACATCAATAAGCCTTTGATTAAAACGAGCATCCATTGATTCTATTAAATAGTCAAGATACATTATACATATAAACACAGCCCATGGGGGGGCTATAGCCCCCTTAGCCCCCCCTTGGCTACGCCACTGGTTTGGAGCCGATTTGACAAATTTTGTTTAACTTTAGGCATTTTTAAATACGATAAATACGATAGTTCACGATCAAACGTACACGCAACACGCAAATGACGGCAGAACGCAGACAACTAAAATAAAATCATAGGTTACGTACGGCGATAACGCCGTATCTTACATAAATACGACGAATTCGATAACTGCAGTTCATATTTTGATACAATTTTAAAAATAACTAAATTATTGGAAATGAACGGAATTGTCCGATTTAATCGACGATAACAACGGTCTAAGGCCGTTTATTCCGGATGCGTACCATCTTAAAATAAAACAATTTGTTTTCGTTCACATATTCGTAGGCAGCTGTTTGGTAGGTAATTTAGTTAAAATTAGCAAAATACCTCCTGTAATATGTATTTATGTGAAAACATACCCAAAAATAGCACTAAAAACCTAAAATTAGCAAAATATCAGTAAAAACCGTAAATATGCAAAAAATAGCAAAATAAAATTTCGTGTATGACATCAGAGAAGTGTGAAACATACTTGTATCTTACTTTGGATGTTCTAAGACGAACCAATAAAAATATGCATTTGCTAGAACTTCCGAGCACTGTTTATTAACGCCCATTCCGGGCAAAAAATATACTAGGTACATAAATAATGCTATCTAAGGTTCATGGGGGGGGGTTCTGACCCCCAAAACCCTCCATGGATACGCCACTGTTCCTAAGTATACTAATTACCTTTTCCATCTTTCTCAAGTATCATCAATCATGGTGTCGACATATTTTACTCATAGAGTAATATATTACTCTATGATTTTACTAGGTAGGAGTCCAAAAATGATAGTCGGATCTGAAGGAGGTAAAAATTTGGTTATATTTATTAACTATAAATACTATAAATAATACTATAAATTCAAATATTGTATAACCACAGATTACATGAAACTATAGTATAACATTAGATCATAGATAATAAATGTGATTGAAAACCCGGGATTTACAAACGTGTTTTCATATTTCTACGGTGAACTGAGTTCCATAAAAACCGGATGCTCATTATACACAAGTCTCGGATTTCATAAGTACTATATTAAGTGGCCTCAAAAAGTCCCAATTACTGACATGACAATTTCAATATTTATTTTATTTTTGTATATTTATCACGATCTTAGATGATGTCTTTTAAGGCTTGGTTTTTCAATTACATTTATTCGTCAGATAACTTGAGTTATCTGATAAGAAAGAATTGATAAATTTCAGATTTTCAATGTCGGGATCACGGTCTTAAAGGTCTTAAAAAATATTCTAAGATCGTGGTCGGGATAGACCTTATTCGATGATGAGAGGATCGCGACAGCAACGTGAACTAATTTTAAGGAGCAGTTATCATGGCTGAAATTAACGAGTTTCATTATCATCCTGTGTTTGTTATTACTAAATATAATATAAAATCTATAATTATGATACATAATTTAAACTCTGACGTTATTAGCTTTATTAATATTTACAGTGAATTAGAATATTCGTTATTTTTCAATTTACCTTATGTCTTTGCAGTGTCATCAGATAAGTGGGCGGGGGAAATTGACCTCTCTGATATAAGGGGAGCAAAACTATAATTTGAAAAATAATGAAAAATAGTTCATGAGCCACTGGTCTTGATTTTCTCTCAAATGTATACAGTACAGTGGCGCAACCAGGGGGGTGGACTTCGGGTCTGGACCCCAACTTGGTACGTATAATAGTATATTAATATCATATTCTAGATATATATATTATAATTTTTTATTATTTGTATATTAGTTTATTTTGTCAGACCCCCCCCATGAAAAATTCCTGATTGCGCTACTGATACAGTACAATAAATTCTATGCATTTTGAGTCCTCAATTTTTCTAAGCTGAGGCTTAGCCTTAGTAGGCTTAGCTTAGTCAAGGTCCCTTGACCGTGCTGACCACCCCCAGTCACACTTCTAATTGCGGCACAGTTTGGATGCTGGAATAGTTAAAATTCTTTTTGAACACAATTTTTTTATTGTGTTATAAGACCAGAATATTAAGTTCAGTATCGTATATATATATATATATGCGCAACTAGGGGGGGGGTGCTACAGCATCCCTAGGCTCTAATTTAGCATCCCCCAGTTAAAAAATTAACAATTGAAAAATTATATAAAAATAGTGTTTTTCTTATTTTATGTAGTTATTTTTATTTGATGCTTTTATCAAAAAGATTAATTGTTTATGACTATTAGTTAATTACACAGTCAGAAATACTTGAAAAATATTCCAATAGTCATCGTAAGATAATACTAGTGTGAGTATTTTATGTTTTATATTGTATAATATTTTTTTAATTTGTGTATTTCTTAGTACTGTATGACCTAAATAAAATTATATAGGTTAGGCTTGTTAATATTTATAAATTAAAATATTAGTGTATGTATGTTGTTATGGTACATTTAGTGATTACATTGAGATATGGTACTTGGAGGGGGATGAGGGTTAGTGTGAGCAGTGGCGTATCCAGGGGTGTAGTAATATAGAAATAATATTTACCTATTTGATATTATATATTAGTAATAACAAACACAGGATGATAATGAAACTATAAATAATTTTAGTTATGATAACTGCTCCGAAAAACTAGCTCATATTGCTATTGCGATCCTTTCGTATTCGATGGATATTGTTACAGATAAGTTATCCGTTACTTTTTGTATCAAATAAATTTTATTCAACGGATAACTAACAGCTGATAACAAAAATGGTTTGTTATCATAATTTATCATATTACTTTAAATATTTAAATATATATTTTGTATCGTCGTCAACGATAAACAATTTTACAAGTACATGCGCATACAATACTTTAAAGCAGGGATCCTTTATGTCCCGTATTTGATTAGTGTTCCGGTCACTTTTGGCCCGTATTTTGTACAATCCATTTCGTATATACCTTATTTTAGATATTAAATTTTTTAATTTCATTAAGCTTTTTAAATTTTATATTATTGATAAATTATAATATCTAAATCAAATGATAATAATATTTGATTATAAAAAAAAATTTACCTAATTTACTAAGAGTCACCTGTTATGGACATACATAGATATAGGTCTTTACGAGTTATATTGTATAGAAGACACATAGCACATAATAAATATTAAAACAACTATTACAGAAATGCATCAATATGATATATGTAAAATGCGGAATTCACGAGGTCAATTGATTACATAGGTAATCTAGGGTTGAGCGCACAAAATACAAGTAGCATCAATCTAAAATGCCAAGGTGAATCGCATAGGACCAGTGGACTAGCATTCACTAGGTTCGGGTAAACTATTAGAAACGGGGTATGTAAGAGAGTCCCAAACAGATCACTATTCAGATGTGTTTTAGTCCAAGCTTAGCAAGCACCTTCACGCGAGATAGATTAATGATTTATTGTACTTAGAAATAATTTCAGTTAATAAAGGTTTTTGGACTTGGAATAATTTGTCAATAAATAGTAAATATTCAAAAGTCTAGTAATTATTTAATAAACCTATTCTCTTATATCCACTCTTCAACAATTGAACAGATGGCACGCAACACACCTAATTATTTGCAAAGGTGGGCAAGTTAATGAAAATAATTAACTGTGGTTAGTTAAGTTAATTCAATTTAATTTCCTTCAGTTAAAGTTAAAATTAACAAAAAAAAAAATAGCTCGATAAGTTAAAAGTTAAGATAGAAAATAAAATTAACTTAACTCAGTTAAAAAAAGTTAATTTTTCTAATATCATACCTGTTATACTTGTATTTATAACGAAACGCAGAATATTGAATTATAAATTATAGTTTATAAATATCTCGGACGACTTTTAGTTTTGTCCATTGGAATCGTCGTATTTACCAGCAGGTACTTGTGTTATTAATATCCAATTTTAACTTTATATTTTTTAAAGACTATGCTATTTATTTTTAAACCTGTTTTTAGAACTACACTATAGAGTTAGACTAAACAAAAATCATATTATATAGATAGAATATTTATTATTACTATTTACTATAGTATCTATAGATTAAAATATAATTTGATTATTATGAATTGAGGATATTATGTTATTATATTAGAAAAATAAATTACCAAAAATCGAAAGAATAAGTTTTGTCTGATGGTTCCATGTGATAAAAAAAAAAAATTAAAATTAACTTTACTGTACAATAACGATAATTAACTATAAAAAGCTAAGTTAAAACAATAAAAAAATTAACTGAATGAGTTAAAAAGTTAAAAATAAAAATAACTAATTAGTTAAGTTAAAAAGTTTAAAAAATTTAACTTTTTAACTTAACTTTAACTTTTTAACAAGTTAATGCCCATCATTGATTATTTGTTTTTAATTTTAATTATAATTTATATTTGTTTGAAGTATCAAATATTGTATTTAACTTTATTTTATAGTATATTTAGTAACTGTGAGGAAAACGAAATGTTACATCGAAGCCAAATGTAATTTTAGCTCACAAATGTTTATAAAGGAATTGTATAGGTAATATCACACATTTAATTTTGTATTATGTTAATTTTAACATAAGTTCCCTCATCCCCTTCTCAATTTAACATCAATGAGAATTTCAAAAATATGTATAATTTAAAATTTCCCGTACTTTTAAAAAATAAATCTGGGACCCCTACTTCAAAGCTATGCATAATTGGTACTTCTTTGGATTAGTCGATAACAACCTGTTTCCTGAGAAATCCACTCACCACACGGGTTGCAATTTGCGTACTGGGACTATATTATTTTTATTTATAGATAAAGTGATATTCGTAATACATAATTTGTGGGGCCCCATAAAAGTGCGGGATCCCGTGCGATTGCACCGCTTGCCCACCTCTAAGGCCGGCACTGTTACTATATTGAGTTTCGATCGGAAATTGTTTTTTTTTTAAAAGATAAAAAAATGCATTTATTGTTAAATTCAAATATAATACATCGAAATAATATTTAAACACCTTTTCTGTATTTAAACTTGTGAATTGATTATTATAATACAATTCTGAATTTTTGATTTTATTTTACCTTCTTTTAATGATTGTGTTGTTAAAATAAAATAATTATATTATATTTTTTATTCGAGTAAAATAAATGTACGAAAACATTATTATGTTTTATAAATATATATATAAGTCAACTACAAACAATTTCTGATTACCATATTGTAACGCTGTTTGAAAGAAAACGTTTATGTGTGCTAAGCGCACCACTTCATACGTTTAGAAGTACACTTTCTAAAGCGTCATTAATTTTGAAAATAATTCAATTCACAATCCCTCCCTCCACTACCACTCTACTAAGGAACCAACAATATTTGGTCTAAACCCTTCTCTTCAAATTTTATTCAGTTTTTTTTATAAAAAAAAAATTATAAAATACAAAATGTCTATTGTTTTACTTTAGATACCATTACTACCAGTACAAATAAACAATGCTTATACAGTCACATAACGGTAATATTAATAGCCAGATATGAGAATACCTATACTCGGATAGTCAGATGTTCCCAATAAGTACATAGGTACTAATAAGTTATTAATAATAACTAGTAACTAACTGTAATTATTTTATTACAAATGAAATATTTTCAAATTGTAATAATACTTGTAATATTCTTACTATAGCCTATAGGTATGAATCATACCTATATATATATATATATATAATCATAGCCTAGGATGGCTTTTTTTTTATAGAATTAAGTGTTATTGTAGACTTATTAGGTACCTATATTTATTTTAATATATTATTTTTATTTGTGTTTATATGACAAATATAAAAAAAATATATTAAAATAAATATAGGTACCTAATAAGTCTACAATAACACTTAATTCTATAAAAAAAAAGCCATCCTAGGCTATAAGCCTTTTAGCCTGCCCCCTAATCCGCCACATATTACTTGTTAACTGTAACTTGTTAGTTTAAATATTTAACATTACACAGCAGATAGTACGTAGCGAGAGCTCGTCGAAAACAATAAATTGTGCATGTTTGTCGGGCAACTGTCTTTTTGATTTACGCCACACACCGCAGTATTTTCGTTGTAAGGGTTCAAATGGTTTTACCGCCGCTTTTTTACGTAATCGTCTAGTTATATGAATTTATTTGTAAATGAATAAATATTTTATGAAAATAAATATTACGACTATCTTTTTATTTATACAGACAAATGCGGTGGTATATTTCCATGCATTATTTTTACTTCAAAACCAACGCTGTATGGTTGCAGTACCTATATGAAGTAGAAAGCACAACTGTTATATTCTTACTTTCTGTAGATCGTTAATGCATATCAAAGGATAAATTAAATGAAAACAATTTTCAGTTTGGCGCCCCGGGCAATCGTCAGGGTCGCTCATAGCTTTCGCCGGCTGAACCTAGGGTCCTTTAAGGCTGCCCTTGACCACTGTTTATAGCGAGTACCATAGAATATATATGATAATAATAATAATAATAATAATAATAATAATAATGATGATAATACATTATTCCAAATTTAGCAGCGAATACACGCTTATTGAATGTAACTACGCATTGATCAGCACAGGCCGATAGATAAGACGGATAGATGTCGCGACGGGTCGGTGGTGTCACGATACGTCTCGCACAGTTGCCGACACTGTGTGGACACCGTCGGTATATCGTGTACGCAGACCGAGAGTGTGGCCTACCTGCGGAAAATATGTCGAAAACATGTCATCAATGCTCTGCTGTGCCGTGGTAAGTAAACTTTATATTTATTTGGAACTTTTCTTTATTTATGTGCTATCCGATTATGTTTACTGCCGTTGCGCGAGCTCTGCGTGTGTTTTCCAAGTTCGATGTCAGCGCGCACTTCCATCCCTGGGCCCCGGACCATAGGCCTCGTGGTCCTTAATGGCCTGTTCCGGGTACCCTTGACAATGTCAACAACGGTGCGCGCAGATATCGGGCCGCGCTCTTCCAGGACCGTCTCTTCCGGGACTTGTTTCGGTCGATGGTCCTACGTTTGATCTGTGTTCCTCAGTTGAATTTTTCTGTGTTTTTGTTGAACATTCTTAGGAATCATCACTACCTAACCGATTCTGTCCAGTTTTTCTTCCCCACCCCCTTGAATACTGATAACAGACCATCGTCTTTTCTCTCTGGGCTAGGGTGTCATTACTGTAATATGTGCCAGACCTTATTTTAGTTGATTTATTACAATCCTCGATCTGTATGTCTATCCCGTTTATCTATGTCATGCTTTTAACCTTTTTCGTAATTATTAGAACCAAAATACCTAATCTTTTCGATAATGCAAGTCACTCTTTTTCTTTTTTTTTTAAAAAGACAAAAAAAAATTCACTATGATTCTATTTCTTTTAGTCTTGCTTAAAGATTTCTTTTATTTCTGTTTTGTTTAACATATCATGGTTATTTTAATTAATAAATTCTTAAATATCATTATGAAACTTAAACTTAACTATCTACTCTGCAAATATTTCATACAATTGTTTTAAAGTACTTATGTTTATGTTACATAGTTAATAAGTTCATAATGAAATTATCTCCAGAATTGTTATTTACCTTGTGATTTATTATAAATATTTTGGTTCTGGATTAATCTTTTAATATAATATATTAAATATATAAAATAAAAAATTAATAAGATATTAAACTTAATTATTGTACACAAAATATTTTTTATTTTTAATAAATTTGGTGCAACAAAACATAAGATTCTAAAAACATGATTGGTTTTTATATTCTATACCTTTAAAATTAAAATAATTTAATTTCTTTGAAGTAAAGTAATAACCCATTCAATTTTTCAATTGATTATCCTGTTAATATACATTCATTTACACTTAATACCATTCCAGTTAGTTCAATTTTAGTTAAAAATATATTTTTGTTTTATGAATTACCTATACATTTTTTAAATAATTTATTCACATCTACTTTGATCGATTTTGTAACTGTACTGCTTAATTTTAATTAATTATTTAACTACTTTATCAGATATTTACTTAAGTAAAATTCTTATCCTTTTATGATAAATATATCTTTGTTCACTTCATCTGGCCCTTAATACTTTCCAAGAGTTTTCATTGCCATCACTAGATTCTTCCATTTTTCTTAGTCCTTTTTCACATAGAATTTCATTTCAGAAATACTCTATTTACATCTTCCTAATTCTGACTATTTATTAACTATACGATTAATATATCACTTAATTTAAATAATAGTATGCATTAAAAGTTAATAATAATATAGAAAAATCCTTAAAAAATTATAATTTTTTTTAAGTATCTGGTAAAAATTTAATTTAATATATTTGTATAAAATATCAATATAAAAATACTTAATAAAAATAATGGTTTTTGATATATGGATAGGTAAAATTACTGAATAAGCAATTGTTCAAATTGTGACTTGTCCTTAAATATAATTCCAATTTCACATATAAATATATGATGTATTTTTATAAAATCTAGTTAAAAATTTAATATTAAAATGTCAGTTATAGGAATGAATGCAGTTTAGCTCCCAAGCGATTTTTTGGAATTTTTTTTTCAAAATGTGTGTTTTTGCATGATTAATTTGATGGTACTTTCAAAAAAAGCCAGTCGAACTTATTCTGAAAGTTATGACCAAAAAATTTCAAAATGCTTAACTTTTTCAAAAAACGTGTTTTTGAATTGAAAATACAAAAAATTTAAGTTTTTAGAATTTTATTTTTTTAGAAACGTTTGTGTTTATATGCTCAATATTTTGGTGAAATCAGAATTTTCCTATCGTACTTACTTTTTTGTTATTGTCAATAAACCACATAGAACTGAATTATAAAGTTTCCTTATAGATTGATGAATATTACATTTTACCTTTTGAAAATACTGTTTATTTATTAAAATTGATTTTTTAAGAGGCCACAAGTAATTAAAAAAAAAAATACACCCCCGAGGGGGGGGGGTGCATGGGTAAATTTATAGAATGATTACAATGTCAAACTATTGGGAACTGAAAAACTGAATTTTACCACTTATGTAACTGTCGTACACAGGCGTCATTGCGTGTTGCCAAATCAGGTATACATATAGGTAAACCATATTATACGTGTGCAAAATCATATTCCGACCCGAATAGATGCAGATATTTTATGTTGTATCAAATTGAATATTGAATATTATATTTTATGAATAAAATACATTATCTGTACATTTTGATTTTTTATTGCTTATTATTTTAATCTATATCTTCTAAACCAAAAAATATAAGTTAGTTCTGATTTCACCAAAAACTTATATATGTTATTACTCATCAAATGAAAAAAACTGAAATGAAAATGAAAAAAAGTCAAAAAAAATAATTTTGAGTTTCACAAATATGCAAATGTTTGAAATAACTTTATAATTCAGCTCTATGTGGTTTATTGACATTAACATAAAAAGTAAGTACGATAGGAAAATTCTGATTTCACCAAAATATTGAGCATATAAACATAAATGTTTCTAAAAAAAAAAAGTTCTAAAAACTTAAATTTTTTGTATTTTCAATTTAAAAACACGTTTTATAAAAAAGTTAAGCATTTTGAAGTTTTTTTGGTCATAACTTCCAAAATAAGTTCAACCGGCTTTTTTTGAAAGTACCATCAAATTAAGCATGCAAAAACACACATTTTGAAAAAAAAAAAAATTCCAAGAAATCGCTTGGGAGCTAAACTGCATTTATGCCCAGTTATATAATTAAGGCAAAACAATTTTCTAAAAATCTTATATTTTATTACATTGCAGTTTTTGAATTTAATATCCTCTAATATATTTAAAATAGCCTAAGATAATAATTATTATAGTATTACCTTTAGAATCAAAATACATTTTACTATTTTCATTAGAAACATCAAATTCATCCTCTTAATACCTTCTTGTATATGTTTTAGTAAACTTAATTTTAATTATTCAAAATAATTCATAATTGTATTTTTTTTTTTTCAGCTTTCAAAACTAGGCTAAATTAGTTTTAGTCTTAAACGCAATTAATAAATTATAATAAAAAAAAAGTAATAACGATTAAAAAAAAAAAAAAAACTTGCATCATCTTTATTTTCTTCGCTGTACGTTCCTTCATTTATTAGTCAACCAAGAAAACAACATACTGCAACATTACCAGCAAGCATTGTGACAACTATCAACTGAGAAATCTTCTTTTATTGTTTAAATAATATTTAATTGAAACGTGTGCTGTGTATTGTAATGAACCAACCGAATACTTTAGAACTGTCTATTTTATAACAATTATTATTAGATTTTTAAAGTAGGTTAGTATTCTTTTTATTATTCTTTAAGTTTTTGTCTAAGTTAAGAAGAAAGAGTTTTATGTAACATCCATAATAATAATTTGTGTTCAAGCATAAAACCAATAGGAAAGTCGCTTGACTTAGTCGAGTGCCTTTTTTAGTTCTTAAAAATATTACTGTGATATTGATTTTAATGGTAATAATGTATTATATATAAATTAATGTTAGGATAATAGATTGTAACATACACACACACACATACACACACACACATATATATTTCAAAATAACATAAATCTTCTCGTAAAAAAAACTGATAACTTATTAAATTTTTAGTGGTCATAAAATATAATATAATTTTACTTTTTAAGTTAAAACTACTATGTCTAACAATTCTCAGTGGAATTTATTTCAATCGACTATGTTAAATGGTAGTGATTCTTCTATGTTAAACTTTAAAACACTTTCGGCATTAACAAATTTAAATAATTTTCCATCATCGAGATCTTCAAACCATTCACCACCAAACTATAATTCACAGTCAAGTCAAAATTTTCCCATGCCATCACAATATCAGTCTTCGCAATTTCAACAAAAGGAATCTTCAATGAATAATATGTTTAACAATGGGCTACAATCATCTACTTTTGATGTATTTTCATCTGATAATACTGCACCCGTAAGTCGTTATCCTCCGGCTGGTAATGATATTTTTGGAAATGATACTGCTACTGCAAACAGTTCCAACAATTCTAATTTTTCAAATGAATCGTTTGGAAACAATCAAGGAGTTCGGGAAACTGGAATTATAGAGAAGCTTTTAGTTAGTAATTTTCTATTTATCAAATAACTTATGAATGAAAAAAAAAATAAATTATTATTATTTTTATTTTTAGCATTCTTATGGATTTATTCAATGTTGCGAACGTCAAGCAAGATTATTCTTTCATTTTAGTCAGTTTAGTGGCAATATTGAACACCTTAAAATTGGAGATCCTGTTGAATTTGAAATGACTTATGATAGAAGAACTGGCAAACCAATTGCTAGCACTGTTACCAAAATTGCTCCAGAAGTGGTAAACAGTTTATAATATTTATAAATATGGTTAAGGCAATAACAATATCTTTAAAAAACTTTTTTAAATTTAGTATTATTTTTACCAAATTGAAAAAATACATATATTTAAATAATAGGTATAACAATAAACAAATCTTATCCTTACATTTTTCATAAATATGATTGATCTTATCTTATTCATAAAAAAAAGTTAGTATATATTTGTGGGTTAGTGGTAGTTATTAAGGATTTTATTGTGAAACCATTAAATGCATGCTTAATCTCTCCTAACATGTAAGTGAAAATTATGTTAAATCAAGCTTGAATTTAATTTAATTTCAATTGCATTATTTTCCTTAAGTGTATTTCTCAATATACTTTATATATAATATTTAAATTAATCAAAAATTATTTATTAGGTGTTAAGTGAAGAAAGAGTAACTGGTGTAGTTACAACTGAACTGAGAACTGAAGGATCAGGTGGTGACACACAAGGTCGAATCAGTTATGAAAACCGAGGAGAGTGTTTCTTTCTTCCTTATAATAAAGACGATGTTGAAGGAAATGTCACACTTAGAACTGGTGATCAAGTGAGCTTTCAAATTGCAACAAATCAAAGGGGTAATTTGGGAGCTACTCATGTACGCTTAGAAAATCCAGTGCATCCAGTTAAATATCAGGGAGTTGTTTGCTCAATGAAAGATGTTTTTGGCTATATTGAAAGAGCTGATATCGTAAAAGAAATTTCATTTCCATTTACTGAATTTAAAGATTCCTCCAAACCTTTACAATTGGGTGATGATGTAGAATTCATAATACAAACACGTAATGTAAGTACATTTTTGATATTGGTATACAATTTAAATCTGTATAATAATTTTTGAAGACAATTTATATTTTTTTTGTTACCAAATTTTTATAGATAATTTAAGTTTCAAGTTAATAGTTATAAATTTAAATAGTCATCATACATTTTTCTATTGATAAATTCAATAAATTTGTGTGTGTGTGTGTGTGTGTGTGTGTGTGTGTGTGTGTGTGTGTGT